CGCCGACTCGGGTACGTGAAGTAAGTGCAAAAGTAAATAAGTCATCGCTATAATTACCAGTCATAATAGCATAATAACCGTGCGAAGCACACGCCGGATGGTACTGATTCCCGATTTCCGGCAAATATAAAAAAACACCAATTTGCATAGCCTCGAACTCACTGCGGGCGAGCCATTACCAAACAATGAGAACTCTATTCGAAATCTGACAAGATTCAACGTCCCTAAACATTCCCCGAAATTGTTCAGAAAAGAAATATGACTTCAGAAAAAAGCGGCTAAAAAACTTTGGACAGTGGATACAAAAGTGGATACATTTTCTTTCAAATATTTTTAGCCTCTGTACACTATTTTCTATCGAAATTTTGTAGAAAGTGGACAGATATTTTTGTTAGGGAGCCGTGATACACATTCGCTGGAAAAAGGGGAAACAAATATTTGGAGAGCAAGCTGCACCGCCCACTTAATAAGCCCTTTTTGTTTTTGGTTTGGCAACCACCTCTGTTAATACACTATTAACAGTTAGACCTGTCTCGTTCTTACTAGCCACTGAAGAGTGCAACCGAAATTTGTCCAAATTCCGGTTATGAAATCAAACATGTCAACACAAGAGTATTCTGCAAAACAATTTTAAAAACTCTTTGTGGTACTCCTCTGGGCAAAGGCTAAAACCATACAGACCTCAAAGTGTGCTATACAAGGCGGCACACACTCCTCGAACATGTGTCACACTCTCTATTATGGGAAGGGATTTTCTAGTTGCTGAATGAAATGAAAGGCAGCCTGTGATGGTACTACTAAGTTCTCGAAGAATTTTCCAGGCACGTGGTATGGCTTAGGAACAAGACAGTACTGGTGAGGCCTGGTCAAGTTATTAGACTCATCCGATAGCAGCTGAGAACAGCCACAGCTAAGTTGTCTGTTCAAGCAAAAGCTTAATCAAATAGCCCCAAACGTAATAAAAAAGTGGACGAGTCATCAATTATGTTAGACCTGATGTCTGATGCCAGCTCAGAAATATCGTCTAGTGGCGGGAAGTTATCAATTGGAAGACATTCCACAATGTCTGAAATTAAACTTTCATGATGCGAAGATATTTGCAACTCCTTTAGGAGGTCAGCCTTGTCATACTCTACGTTTTCATTGTCCGACAGTTTGAACAGTTTTTTTATCCAGAGGTGTTTTGGTCTTGAGGTGAACTGATGCACATTTTGGTTTGTGTTGCAGCCCAGCATTTGTCGTATATAGCTTCAAAAACGTTCTCAAGTGTGTCTTGCTGCAGGCGTCGTATAAGTAAGAACTTAGTCATGGCTGCTTGAAAGCTCACCAAAAAGAGCATGAGGACACTCTTTATAGTGACTTGCCGCCCAATGATGGCTTATGGCTGCCTCCTATATACTTTGGAACTGCCATGCTGAAATCCATCCGAGTTACTGGTGGAGAAAATCAAGTATTCCAAATTCTCCCTTCAGAATGGCATGACGCGACTTCTGCCCTGTCTTCTTGAATTTTTTAGCTATTTAGACAATCAAAAAGTATGCACATCCTATCACAGAAATAGGCTGTAGCCATGGCTGCCTCAGGAAGTTCCTTGACATAAACAAGGGATATGATTGCAAGAAAGAGTGAGGCACTCAGTACCTGTGGGGCACAATTTTCTTCCATGTTACAGAAAGGTACTTGAAAAAAATATGTCTCTCAGTAAGTTTCGGAGCCAATTGCAAGCTCATCTCATGGATAGAATAAAGTTCAACAATAGAAGACCACTCAATGACCTCAATTCCAATGCAAAGTTTGTGGGCCTGAAGATTGCTCTTCGTTGTTTTGGGAAGGTGCGGAACATCAAAGACAAAGTAAACGTGTTTGTTGCCAACTTCAAAAAATGGCATATCACCACACACACCAAGCTTACGTTTGAAGCCCCCTAACCACAGACCACAGCCTTTACTGTGAAGCCAACAGTCCTAAAGGGCCGATGCACTGATATTTGTATTTTGCGCAAATACCGCTTAGAACGAATCCCTGACGTTAATGATCTGTGAAATACCCGTTCGTTTTCACCACACGCAATCGAACTCGCAGAAAAAAATAAAGAAAAACAAGCAAAGTTCACCTCTTCAACTCGCAGCCAGAACAAGTGGCCCCGTGATCTGGAGCCGATTATATGCCGCCAATGTTGATCATAGCCATGCGCTAGGGTTGGCAAGGCACAGGACACACGCCGAGTTCCAGACATTGTTATGGTTCGGCTGTTGTCGTCATTGCAGCGATTGGACACAGGACACTACCCGAATGTTTCTCGAGCTATTGATTATCACAAGCCCAAATCGAGTGTCCACGCCATGCTCCGGTCCAATCTTTGAGCCGCATTCAAATATCGTCACTGGGCGGTACTGCTACCGCCCAGCTACGTCATCGAGTTTTTCGAAGGAGAGATTGAATGAAAACACTCGGTTTTGTCCTCGAAATTACAGCGCAACAAAGGAATTTCTTGGTCAGTGGCGTTGCGTGCGAGTATCCTTGAGTCCCACTAGTGCCATTAAGCTCGTGTAAAGTGAAAAACATTCCAATTGAATATCGTTGCACCGCCCCTTTTAAGCTCCCGAATGCGAGAAATAAGGAGACTGCGTTAAACAGAAGACGTTGGAGTGTGCACAACAGTGTCTGCAAGGGGCTAAATGCACCTCCTGGAAATTTCAGACCGCATAACAACCAAGGCTCTATCTGCAATGTTAGAGGTTCGTTCAACACCGTCATCTGTAAACCCATGGACAATGTCGTGTGCAGGGTCATAAGTTAAATCTTTTTTTTTTTAAAACAATCTCATTGAAAATCAACTTGCACACACGTTCAAGTGCAGCCAGACAGCCCGGCAGAAACAACAACGCGAGAAGCTCGAACCAATCGGCTCCACGAAATCACGCCGAGCATGAGAGCACGCGAGCGGTCATGCGTCACCTTGATTGATGCAATGTCGACCGAACATGATGCAGCAGAAAGCACAGATGGACGGCACGCACGACACAGACGAATGACGCAGGGACGAACAGAGGCCATGCAGAATGATGCAGAGGCGACGGCGTGCAGGCAGTCAGGCCATGGCAGGCGCCATTCATCACGTGGTTTTTGTGACGTATTTGACTTTAAACTATTTGGTGGTTTTAAGTACTTTAAACAATTTTAAAGCATTGCCATTTAAAAAATAAATACTTTTCACAGAAAGAGTTTTAAATAATTTTAACTAAATTGCAGAAAAGCGCCACGTAGCGGAGAGTATGAAATGCACTATCTGGGCCGCGAGTCGGCTCCTGTGTCCTCTCTTTACGTTTACTATATTACTCTATGGTAGCAGTAAGCCACCAACTAGCAGAGCGAGCTGACGGTTTTGTGGACCTAGGATAGACGGCGCCACTAAAACTTCGTATAATAAAAGTTTTGTCGATGACACCAGGTTTTTGATGCATTTATATAAATGTTGGAATGCCAAGATTTATAGAAAAGTTCCCTTTTACCGAGCAGGTGTTCGCACAACTTGCTATCTTTCTACAAGATTCCCCATTGACGTCACGCCGAGTGTTTCTCATGGCCGCCGCTCGCGGCTGCAGGTCGGGGAATATTCTAAGTTTTGCCTAGCTATTACGCGGCGGAATCGCAACATTTCGATGAAAGGTCTGTTTTCTGTCATTTGTGACAAGGTGAACAATATCAAAAGCAGAAGATGGCAATTCTTTCAACCTTAAAATCGTTGCACAGAGACCACAGAGGCGCTTTTGGTGGCGCAGGTCGCCAGTAGTTTGGAGTTTATAATTGTTTTGTGGTGCCTCGCGCGGTGTGCACGTCGTGAGCGCGCATCAAGCTTCATGCCCTTTACACCGGCCTGCTAGGATAGGAGCAATGGCTGACGCGGGGCAGCATCTGGGTTAGCAAAATTGGCTCAAAAATATGTTCACTATTACAGGTTGTCGTTTTTCACTTAAAATTATAAATCGACCCCTATTTTCAAAGAACACCTGCGAACAAAACTTCAGCAGGTACTTGAATAAGTATGATAAGTTTTCACAACCGTGGGACCATTTGAAATATATGCCATCTCAGTAGGTTAATTTGTGTCTCATCTATGGGCGCTGTTTACAAACAAGTCAAAATTTACCCACACTGGGTGTGGGCACTGCACGTGCGCAGAAACCAGATTCGTGCAAAGCGCCTGCGCCGTGCCGACAGCAGCGCCACTGCAGTGGTGCTGCCGTTGGCACAGTGCATGCGTAGATGCCGTACGGCATGCAAATGTGGTTTCATGTGCAGTGCTCTCGTTTGGTTTGGGCAAATGCAAATTTCTGTGTAAACATTGTGTTGGTCTGTGTAATAACTCAGCCCTTTGTTGTCCTTTGGATACATGGTTTTGCACAAAAAAGACGGGCAGAAAAGAAACAAACAAGACCGTCTTTTTTGCGCAAAACCATGTATCCAAACGTTCACCAACTCGCCCAACAACAAACTATTTCTTGTTGTCCTTGTACGGCGGTGGCGCTTTCTCGACGTTTTACATGCAAGTTGTGGGAACTTAGTACGTGCCTGTCACTTTTAAGTGCAGCAAAAGCTACAAAAGTGATCTATGCAATAATACTTAAAAAACAAGCGAGCTGGTGATGATTCATGGTAATAAAACCCGAAACTCAGGAACACACAAGGGGACGAACACAACACAACGTCTCAAACACAGCTGCTCTGTTTGAGACGTTGTGTTGTGTTCGTCCCCTTCTGTGTTCCCGAGTCTCGGGTTTTATTACCATGAGTGATCTATGCGCTTCGAAGGGGCCTGCCGACCATGTGCAATCGTCCCAAGAGTAACTCAGGGCAGCATGTTGGTGCTTGTAGGTTGGACTTAGCTTGCACTTATGGTGAAACAGGGATATAGCCTTCAGCAGTTGTGCAGTGCCCAGAGTTTTCGCTTGACTACACAAAACATATGAAAGGCTGTTGAAAGAGTGCTGTAGGACTTCGTTTTTGTACGCAATTTATTGTACAGTCTTTAGATATCATACAATGCTTCCAACAATCGTGCAGTTACTTCAGTAGGGACCACTTGAGTTGCTCCTTTGCCGATTGGAAAACCTGAAACCACCCCAAAGAACCACAACTTACCAACCAATGAACCGTAGACTTTCCGGTTTAAACCGAAAAGAAAACAAATGATAAACATCGGCCGGTGCTGAAATATCAAATCCGTTGACACCAGAAAACAGCGATTTCTGGAAATCTGTGCTCTAAATGAGGACTATTTTTGTCGAGACCTTCTCCTCTTTAGTTTTCATCGTGCACATTACCTAAAAGCCAGCACCCTGCCAGTCCTGAATCAGTGGAATCATTTACTTTAGAGGTCAGTGACACGAGAGTTAGGTTAGTCAGTTAGTCACTCCATATTGTCATAACATCTTTGTTCTATTTGAGTCAAAACTGTATGATATTGTTAAAAACTACATAGGTAATATTTATTGGTGAGTACTGCAAAAGATACAACAGAAACTTGCCTTCCTCATGGCAGGAACATTTTACTTGAGAAAACTCCAGATTTTGCAATCACACATAGCAAGAGGGTAGCAGGATAAATAGAAAATGAAAAGCTCCGAATGATTACGTTAAAAAATGCTCAGACAATGACCCGTGTTTGAACTCTTTAATCGCTGTTTGCAAGCACTGTAACATTATGATAAGCATGAAGCATTTTAAATTAAAAAGCATGAAGCATGTACACAAATTGTAAATTAAATTTCAAGTCTTGGTTTCTTACGAATGTTTTCTTCTGTTTATTGTCATCTCTTTACCAATAATTACCGTTTTTAATGCCCTTACAACACATTTCGTCAAAATACCCAAATTGAAAAAAAAATATATATAAACAACAAATAACATTAGCAGATTTTTCGTTTAAGCACTGGAAAATATGCAGCCTACTTATTAGTGAACTTTTTAGATGTCTTGCACATAATCATAAAATCGGGTGGGCATTATGACGGAACACAAACTCAAAATGGAGTCCTTTGTGAAACTGCCTTGGGCACTACTCACCTGCGCTACCGTCTGCTCTCCCAGCGGAATGTCGTCTGTCCTAAGTGCAACTTTCTGAACGATGGCGGCAGGGTCTGCCTCCAGGATGATTCTGCAATGTACATAACAAGTATGACTTTACATATACTGTAAAAATTAAAAAATAAAAACTAGCAACATGCAACTGTATTTGTGGAAATATGTTAATTTCTCACACTTCATGATGTAGCAATGTACATAACAAGTGTGACGTTACATACACTGTAAAAATTAAAAAAAGAAAAGCCTAATGCAATTGTAGTTGTGGAAATATATTAATTCCTCAAACTTCAACGAGCCCTGTGGTTCACATATCAAAAATTGGTTCAATCGAAAAGGGAACCTGCGGCGGTGTGGCGAGCTACCTGAACTGTTTCTGGAATACCCGTTCTTTACTTTTCCCGGCATGCTATTTATTATCTTTAAATTCATAATGGTTATTGAGAAAACGGCAAATGAATGTGATGGCAAGACCAATGTTAAAATTTCCCTGCGTTTCCAGGGGCATGACGTCACAGTGGAAAGACTTTTAGGTCGAGCAGGCAGTCTAATAAAATGAGTATGTATGTCATACATTTTTTAATTCTGCTTGAGTGAGCTTCCAGAGCATAAGTTTGACACCAACAAACTTTTTGTAAAAATTTGGGAACAGATTGTATTGCCCGAATTAGAACACCTGTTGTCACAACTGTAGTGTGGCCAGCAGAGCCCTGAAGTTTGAAAAAGTGACGAGGAACAAATAAAAATTTTTTAAAACGGCACAAAATTTTTTTTTTTATTGAGCAGCAGATGGAAATATAGAGGGCGCTCTGATTTGTTCGTTGTCCCCACACCTGTGTTTACTCAACACAAGGCCTGTGCACATGCCCAGAGGCCTTGTGGGCATGTCTATGTCACCTTCAATAGAGTGTGTGGCACAGTGTAATGTAAAAAATACTAACAATAAACGAAGTGACATAAGTGCCGGATCTCTCTTGAAAGCAGTCGTCGGAGAATGTGAGCTAGACTCACTTGGGCTTTTGTGCTGAGCTGGGCACCGTGCATGCTGCATTGTTAATTCACGCCGGAGCGGTAACAAAAAAGCCCCTCCTCCCCCTCACCGGAGAACACGAACTCCAGCCGAACACAGACGCCGCGCTCGGTTACGTCAGCCGAGTGCCGAGTCATTGTATTTGTTGCCCCCCTGTGTAGTTCTACAGTTAACCGCTAGGGGCGCCATGGTCTGATCTCCTCCTTAATAGTTTGGTCTACTAATTCGGATGTGTCTAAGTTTTGAACAAATCGACGACCATCCAAATTCCGACAAAACTCCTCCTTAAAACAACAGATCCTCGAACTGGGTCACCTGAAGCACCCGCCAAGAACATCCAAGTATGATAATTCTTACTAACATATGAAAGAACCAATCTAAAAGAAATAAACACCAGGAGCCAGGTGCAAGTCTTCGAAAAGTCTGTCGCAATGAAAGATAAGTTTTGGAAATGAGGCGGACTCGGCCCTGGCACCCACCCTCCGTCGCAGATCTCGTCGAGGGCCAGCATGATGATGTCGAGGTTGTCCAGAAGGACCTTCTTCTCTACGTTCTTCCTCAGGATCTGGTTGATGGAGTCATACAGGCAGTTCAGGACACTGCACAAGATGAGCTGCACCAATGGAAAGAGGCGGGAAAGTTAAGGGCACAGGTAGCAGTGATGTGATTGGCCTAAGCCGTTTTGGAGCACCTTTCGGAGCAACCAAAACAGTGTTTTGGAGCAGCAAAAGCGGCTTTTGGAGCAACCAAAACAGTGTTTCGGAGCACCAAAAATGGCTTTCGTAGCAGATATTGTTAGAAAAATAAAAAGATTTGTTTTACGTGCTGGACAAACGAAGGGCACTTTGCTCACTGAAATAAACGAATTATAGTCAAGTTCGACCACCTAGGAGTCTTTCAAGATGTAACTGAAATGTCAATGACATGACAGATTTTGCAATGCTTCAGTTAAATGATACCTATATATGTACCCACAATAGACAGATAAGAACCAAACTTCACATATTCAATTTATTTGAAAACTAAATTTCACATATTAAAATGTATTTGAAAATGATTAGCTTAGTAGTAAACATCACAGCATTAGGTTAACTAGTGATATAATATAATAAATGGAAGCAGTCCCCGACTGATGAAACACATAGCTACTGCAGTGCAATGCGAAATTGCACACAAGAAAAATGTGCTGTACGACTAGCGGGTACTTTTTGCTTTTCAAAACTTTCTGCAAAGCTGCTGCAAGCTTCGCTTTGGCTTAGGCTAGTAATGAATGTCCACTTTTAATGTCTCCAGAGAAACATTGAGACACCCCACAAGTGTACAGTGCTTTAGGCGTTGCCGAAAAATTTTGAAAAACCGCTTCCTACCGTTTTACTGATTCCCGACGTGCCAGACTTTCGTCAAAAGTAAACGTAAAACAGTGGATTGCAAGCGTCGCGGCTGGTGCCTCTGTCGTGCAATGATGTTCGCATGCACGTCAGGGCAACTTCGGCAGGTTTGCAGCTGCACGTGCTTCGTCGCGCGAGCGGAGACGGCTGTCCCATTGAAACCGAAACCATGCCACTCCGCTCCGTCGCCAACTGGTCTCCAAAAATGTATGTAAAATGTAACTGCCCAGCGTGCGACAAAAAATAGTTCAGCGGCGCGTGCTTGCAAGGCCGGCAGGCGAGGTACACGCAGAAAAAAAAAAAAAAAAAAGAACCTGAGCGCATCGATGCAGGACATCGCGAGTCAGGGTCAAAACGTTGTTGGAGCGCTTTGTGCAACGACTGAACTCGAGACAAACAAGCGCGCTGTGCGGGTTCAGCGTGCAGACATTCCCTTCTTTGCTTTAGCTCACTTCTCTTCAACAACTTGCTTGCGCGACAGATTTTTCACGTACCGGGGTCCCTCTCGATAGAAAGCCAACCAAGAGAAACCTAGGTAATCAATACTTAGACACAGCAGTCTTCGAACCAATGAGGGATTTTTTGTAGTAGCGTATGTTTTAAACAAGAACAGGAATGTTGATGAACATGCGGCGGTCCTTATGTTTCAGTTTTGGAAGCTCCATATCTGTAGCGACGTGCGGACTGGCAGGCAGGACAATATAGTTTTCACGTGGCCGTTGCTTGCAGAAGCGAGTGCTTCAGCTCAAAAAGTAACTCCCGCCGCGCAAAAACGTAATTTTGTTTTAGTGTGACGGCATCGTTGGTAGCCAGCACGTTAGCGTCGGAGCGTCCGTACAGGTCCGCATCTATCGTTGTAAAAAAAAAAAATGCGAGACGACATTTACGGGACGACGACGAGAGCGCGAAAGAAGAGACGGAGGGAAAAACCATGCGAGACTGGATGGGCGATTGATGTAACTAAAGCAAGGGTGCAGGCAACCTGGTTCAATACTGAGATTGGAGTTTTTCGCCTGTCCTACGTCCCTTCTTTTTCCCGGCTCCAGGGTTACAATGTCACAATTGATGCAGAGTACTTTGTGTCGGGTGGCCGCTTGCGCCACCTAGCTCACACATACTCAGTTACGGTACTCAGTTTAGTTTCGGTTTTGAAAGGCGACCAAAACTGGTCCTTTGGCGCAGGCTTGGCGCAGATTAGCCATATTTTGGCGAAATGTAGCAGGATGTAGCAGGGTTAGCCCCTTGGCGCAGTTTGGCGCAATTGGCGCAGCAATCACATCACTGAGGTAGTAGAAGGTCTTGTCGGAACAACGTCACACAAAAGAAAATCCCTAATTACCATAAAATGCAAAGCGAGTTCCCATGTCACAGTGAGTAGCCACCCCAGCAAACTTCTGAGAAATTTAAAATGTAGGCAGTGGACATATCAAGCGCCCTCCCCAGCGAACTTTTGAGCCGATCGAGCTGACCGAGGTACTCTTTCGCATCGGCTGCTTTTTCGTGAAGCTGGTGCAAACGAGTGAAGCTTTACGTGCATGGAGGGCGGTAATGCTTGATGGGAGGGTGGGGAGCAGGCTCGACAAGAGTGGTGCAACTGCTTTAAAAATTTGCAGTTCCGTCAGACCCTTGTACAGCTCCTCCGACATTCCTTCGGATCAAAAAAGGGCCTGCACTACCATGTGCCCCTTCTGCTTTTCTGCTCTCAAACCTAACAAGTGCCAATCCTCAATTTCCGGGGGATTCTCTCGAACTTTTTCATGAACGCTTGCTTGACACTTTACAGTAGATACATCAAGGCAGACGGGGGTACCCTCAGAGGTTGCAATGGCTGGCTTTCCATGATCTGTGGGAAAGCCCACCATTGTGAAGAGGCTTGTAGATCTCAAGTGGAGTGCTAAAAATCTGAGGCTATTCAGTCATTACAGTGCTCAAGACACTGAGGCATTAAGAATTCAGAAGATTAAACTTTTCTCTGGTTCCACACTGCTCTTTGTATACCAAACGAGAGCCCAGGACAAGGCAGAATTTCTAGGGCCGGCTCCACCCAGCCCGGTCAAGAAGGGGCCCAAGCCCAGCAGGTTTCATCAGCCTAAGCTCGAACCTGGCCCATTTCAACTGCTTTAATTTGCAACTTCAACATCCACAGTCCATACGAAACAGTCCAAGTGGGAGGCAGCCCGTTCGTCAAATGCCCCCTTTTCTATAGAACTATTGGTAAAAGGGTAATTCATAGAATTATAAGAGCTATGAAATGACAAATTTATATCAATAATCTTATATTAGCCAGCATGGAGTTCTATATGTCAGAGAACATAATTTTGAACAGGAGTAAGACATGCACAAAGTAAATATTTGGTGCAGACTGCCTAAAAAAAAACACTCTTTTTCAGCCAAAATTTTTTCCTATGCACTAAACCTATACATTGGGCGAGTATTATAGTACAGGAAATATGGTAGTTATTACTAAGCGCAGCGCTTCGAATGTTGCCAGCACAGTTTGGACACATTCACCTAATCATAATGTGCAGTGAAAGTTGTTTGCTACATCTGTGTAGCTGCACCCCCACGTGTTGGGATAAAAATAGGAGGAAAACATTCTTGTGAATTAGCTTGGCTTGGCTTGCTACAAAAAAGCTTACAGTTAGATTTCTTTCACTATAATGAGTGATTGCACTTTTTATTATAGTTGAAGTTCTACTGAACACACATGCGAAGAGTTACAAATGCACTCGACCTTAGAGAGGCAAAACAAGCCTTTTCATAAAAAGTTGAAAAACAGTACCGCCCTCCACACAAACAAGTGAAGGTGTAGTAATAGCAAAAAAGACAATATCAACATCCATGACTCATCCGAGAAGCACGTCCATGTGCACATTGTATATGAAGTATTTTATGTCTAACAAAACTTTTACGGAGTGCTGCTTCAAGGGAAAGGCATGTGTCGAATCGGTTGTGATAGTCATGAAAGCAAAGGTTTAACATGCTTTTTGAGTGGCCTTATGTGCTTTGAGCTGCAACAACGTTTGTCATTTGCCCAGTTGTCTGCGTGATTGCCGCCTCGCAGGTTATTTTTAATTAAGAACTAGACTTCTGAGCTGCGTGAAGCTTGAAAATTAATAGGCATTTTTATTCAGCATGTCTAGATTATCTTAAAATGCTGTACATTCTCCAGTAAGCAAGGACAATGTGATTTTATTTCATTCTCCATGAATTGGCACACAGAGCTGGAGCATCTGAGGCATTTGCTGCTAGTTGCTGAGAGGTGGCACCCAAGTGAGCATATTTAGTGTGCCAATCTGTCACCCTGCTCCCTTCAGGAGCACATACAGTGGCTCTAAAAAGAAGCAGCCCCCATGCATTTCAAAACCGCATGTCCTATTGTCCAATTTTGTCTTAGCATATGAAACACAGAGTGTATTTCCTCAAATTTAGCCCCACATATACAGATTGTAAGCCGTTCTGTACCGACTTCAAACAAGAGAGCTCCTCCCCAAATTATTAAGAAAATGTTATCCACATACTCAAACATGTTCTTCTCGGCTACTCATACTCCCTTTCTTGGAAAACTAGTTTACTCAGTCTCATCACCCCCTTGTCTGTGCAGGTACTTAAATCTCAACTTTCAGCTTCAGTTCATCTATTTTGTGTTCAAGCTTTCATATGTCAGTACTTGAACACTTTGCCTTCCAACCACACATCCCATACCTCAGTTAGTCTGACAAAAATGAATTTAATGGTTGCCTTACTGCCTTCAGAAATTTGTCCGCAGCCCACCGCAGTCCTTCATTTGGCCTGTTCTCATGTTTCCCTTGAAACAATCTGCCCATTCTCCTTTCTTTGATCTCAAAACTTCATGGAATTTCTGGCCTTGTGGAGAGGACTACATTACCAAACGATAGTCCTGGCACATTGCCTCCATTTTAATATGCCCAGTACCCCTAACAGTTCCATTTTCCTTGTAGTTCCACAGAGGGTTTTCATGGGTGGAACTCATGAAATATATTTGGGAGCAGCCCCGGGAGCAGCTTAAACAGCAGTTTTCAAGCAGATTGGGAGCAGTTAAAACTACATTCTCGAGCAGGCTAGGAGCAGCTCAGAACAGTTTCCATTGCACTTCAGCTTATGTCTTAGACAAGCACGGGAGAAATTTCGATTGTGCTTAGCAGTGCAGATGAACTTGAGTGATTAGGGGCCTAGGTAGATAGGATAACAGTGTAACAGATGCGAAAACTTGAAACTTTGGGAGTCTTAATGAGAATCAAAAAGCAAGTACCATATATCTGTGAAGATAGTGTCCTTGATATTTTAGAGCGCAGCTCTTAGGCGCCCGTTTTCGGCTTGAGCGGCGTCGCCGTCAGCGTAACCGCGCGGTGCATTATGGGACATTTCCTATGATGCACCGTGCGGGGAGGAGGGTGGAAAAGAGGGAGGACGAGGGGGAGGAGAGGACGAGGACGGATGAGGAGGAGAGGAAGGAGGGGGAGGAGGAGAGGAGGAGCTTGAAGGGAGGAGGAGGACTGGGGAGGAGGAGTAGGAAGAGGAAGAAGGAGGGGTAGCAGGTAGGATGAGGAGGTGAGGAGGAGGGAGAGGGGGCATACCCTCCTTTCAGTATTTTCGGAGTGGCTTTCAAGTGCTCAAAACGCAAACCAGCACTGCTTATTGCACAACTCACACATGCTCGACATAGTAATTATATGTGCGAACCACGTGATTTGCGTAAGCAATGGACGTGCAGTTGCGCAGAGTTACAGCGCAACAAGTGTCGAGTTTATCCTATTGTGCAACTCAATATCGAAGCAGCAGACTATGATTAACAGTTATTGTATTCGAAACGATAAGCAGGAGCAAGGTTAAAGTACTACGAGTAGATCTACCGCTCGCGTCAGAGCTGCTGGCCGGCAAGGTTTCGGATCGGACCGCGTTTCAGTTCAACCAAAACACAATTTATCTTGTGGAAATGCGGTTCCAACTTCTAACAATGAAGTACTAAAAGGAATATTTTGCTCATTTGTTTTCAACCGGCTGACTTCCGGATCCCGGGCCACAGAGCCTCAGGAATTCTAACGCTTAAGGACTCGACCTCACCTCGGCCGACTTGCTTAGCCGCTTATGGTTGCCGAATAACAATCCAGTCACAGGTGGTGTAACGCTTAAAATCTGACCCGACCCCCCCCCCCCCCCCCCCCCCCCCCCCCCCCCCCCGAGTTTTTTCGAGTGCTTCAGACGCAGGATGCACAGGGGGAATGAACAGAACAAAGGACTGCCATGCCAATCAAGCTAAACGTGCTCATTGTTGCCAATCCAGTCGATAAAAACTGAAACCAAAACAAAATACAAATTTGTTTTGGTGCACAATGGCATGAGGCATTGGCTGTGGCGCAGTTTCCGCAACATGGCACAAAATGGCGCAGCCGTTCCACCCCTGGGTTTTGCGTCACACAAGCTTAGGGTTGGTTGCCAACCCTAATTAGTTGTCAGATGCAAAGTTTGTCACTAAAGCCAGGGCATTTTCTTTTAGTATTGCTCCTCCCTCTCAAATGCAGATGGATCGACAAGTTACCTCATTCTCATGGTTGCTGCCCATCACGTAGAAAAAGAGGTCCACGTTGCTCCGGTAGACGCACGTCAAACCGTCCAGCATGATTATTTCGGCTGAAAGGTGTCACAAAATCACAGCATCAGATGCCAGTACAATAATTTTTTTGTGCATGTGTTGCTTGTGCAGCGTGCAAGTTTGCCTGCTCCATGCACATCTTGTGCATTTGTTTACCCAGTAAAGGGGCCCCCACGCCTTTGTTTCCCCCCACCTCGACCAATGACAGTGCGCGCTTGGCTGCCATGTCAATGTGCATTCTCTGTTTCCCTTTGATTGGCATACCCCTCCTTGCCTCCCGATGTGCCAAAGACATATTTTAGAACACTTGCTTGCAGCATCACTCTAAGCGAGATTTAAGCTGCACGATGAATGATCCCCAGGTGATCTCAATTAATCCTCAGTCCTTTACTGGGGCATGCCAGATGTTGTTCCTTGGTCTGGCACATTAAAAAAATCAAATCTGACTTCCAAGTTTGTTGTGTTCTTTTTTTGTTTGTTTTAATGCATGTAGTGACAAGCTCACTTGCACTCTGCATGAGGATTATCACCTCTCTCCCTAGCCCCACTCATCATTACATGCACATACTCAATGTAAAATTAATTATTACTATATTATTATGATTATTATCATTAGCCACTTACCATTTGCACGGTGTGTTTTGTTGAAAAGATTCTTCTCAAACGCCTTTTGCTCTTTTACTGATGGGAAGGTGTTATCATAGTACTGCAAATAAAATGGCATTACTCACTTTTCAGTAACTAATCTTAAAAACGTTTTGTAAGCAATAACTCAACGAAAGCAAAACTATATATCTCAGGGCTTCAGAGCATGTTTTTGCATCAAAAATATGCCACAAGTGTGGTGCATCTTCACTTTGCTGGAGATTAAACCAAGCGATTTATTCCCTAATAAAAATGACATGGTGCAAAGTCATATGGCAAACAGTAAAAGCCAACAAAACCACTACCAGCAATATAATTGAAGTGACACAACTCTACGCATTGCATTCAACACTACTGCATACGGAGATTGGACTCGCCGCTTACGCACAGCAAGTACGTATATTTTTACGAGTGAATAATGGAGGTCATCGAAAGCTTCTAAATCATGCGCGCGTTCAAAAACTAAATACCTTGGCAAGGATCCTGTTGCCATCGTTGTCCAGGATAGCGATCGCTTTCACAGTGTAGAGCGTAGGTTCCTGAAGAGGACAGAACGGCACGTTGTCCAGGCGACGCAATGACATGTCAAGGCATGTTCTCACGGATGCCCACCCACTGTGCAAGGTTGTGTTATGTTTAGTTTAGGTGGGGGGAAGTTGTCAACCCCAGTAGGCGTTTAATTTCTCCGCTGAAGATGAGATTTAGCCAGTGCGGTATCACTGGTGGCCTGGGGTCTTCGACGTGTATTTTTATTACACGAACACACGCCGGTACGATGCTCATCCAGATCTCAACGGACAGGTGTGGGGATTGACCCCAGGATCCCTGGGTCCTGCAGCGTGAGATTTCGCTCCATGTGCTTCGAGCTGCGATACGCTTAGACACTCGGCCACCGATTTCCCAATCATTGTGCAGTGTTTAGCAGATTTTAAAAGTGACGACCGGTGCTGGGCGAGTATGAATGTGGCGAAACAAACGCGGTAGCTAATCCCCGTTTCATCGGGTACTGAAGAAAATTGAGAACCAAATGGCTATCAATTACGTGTCTACAGACTTTTAGGGGCCCAGAAGCTTCGTTTTAGCTCTGAAAATGTCATAAACTAAACAGCAAATTGCGTAACATGCAGACTTCCGATTACTTACGAACAACATCGACTCCATCTTGAGTGACGTGTAAACAAAATCGAAACAGCCACTTGCAGTTGCAGGACGGAAAAAAGATGCTTCGTAAAATAATAAACTTTGTTAAGCGCGAAAAGTGAATTTTATTTTATTAGTAATAAATAAATTCGACAAATCAAAACTACTTCCTTAATATATCCGTTGTTTTCTTTTAAAAAATAGTGAAAAAAATTTTAAAGTTTTTGCATAGTTAAACTTTTAAATGGTGACTTTTAAAAAAGTTAAGTGTAATGATATCACTAGTTTGTTATAAATCTTAGTAAACACATGAATGTGTTAGCTTAAATTACTACTAGCGCCACTTGTTTCAGTTGCGTGGAAAATGTTTTTAGCCGTTGCTTAGTGTGCGAAGCGGAAAACGCGATTGTTGTTAAACATGGCGGTCGTTCAAAGAAAAAGGGACGGTGGGCCAAACTTGAAATTTTACGAAGCGGCAGAAACAATCACGCAGTTTGACGGCGTGAAGCAATGGCTCCACAAGAACTGCAAAAAGGTTCGTGATTTACCTTTCTGGTTATTTTAGTTGTGGTTCGGGAGTACGTTTTTTTCGTTTTTCGAAGCGATGGCAAGGCCGGCGTCGCTATCGCATTTGATTGACGGCGTCTTTGCGTCTTGACAGCCCAGCCAAACGCATGGTACCGCCGCGCGCCTTCGGAAGCTGCATACAAACTCGTAGAGACCGCACGATCGATTTGAACGATGAGGTTACCTGAAGTTCAATGAAAGTTCTTTTCATTTATACTAAGCCTAAGGCGTTCAATCCGGCATACGTTGGGTGCGAGTGGTGTTCGGTGCGGTTTTCTCACTTCCACAGACTCCTCTCAGGCGTTGCTTCGTTTATGTGCATTTTTGCAGAAACTTTCAGCTTGAATTGCGGACGCATATTTACGTCCGAAAACACTAATTCATATTGTATATGTGTCCAACTTGCATGTTGCCGGGCGCTGTTAAAGAACAACAAATATTCAAGATGTTCTCTGCATCCTAACAGCGAAAACTCGAACGGTTGACTGTACTGTTTTGGTCTACAGATTTTGTGGTAGCAGAATGTGCGGTACAGTGAGAGAATTATGTTCTCGTTGCAAGTGACGAACCTCCGTCTTGCAGTACACTCAGGCAGAACCGCCAACGAACAAGGGACTGGCGAGCTTGGCGATTCAGCTCATCCAGTTTCAAGAAGATGCATTTGGCAAAAGCGTGAGCAAGCCGCCGCTGACACGACTTCCAGTGAGTACGCCGACAATTCCTCGGGGTTTTGTGTTTTTTCGAATGGGGGTGTCACTAGACCAAATCTAAGTAACCATACTAGAAAGACCAGACTTTTATGACGCATGCAAACGTGTACAGATCTGTACATCTAAAATCTCTCTACGTCGAGTCCTGCCCCGAAGTGTCTTTTTTTTTTTTTTTCTACTCTAATATTATGCTGACCAACATCATGCTATCTGAGTCCACCATAGTTATTTCATACCAGGAAGATCCTCATCGCCAGCCATTTCATTCCATGAACATACATGGTTTATACCATAGAGACGATGAAGTCTCCCAGAGCGTGAGAGGAAACATTGAAGTGGTGGCCAGGCGGCACTGGCGTCACCTATAAGTAAAGATGAACGTTGTCTCCTTATGTTTACAGTATTGCATCTTTTCTGTTTGTGGCTATACTTAATCCTTATTGCATTGGTGTTGGCAGGTCTAACTGACTGCCGCTTGCATGTTCACCCTCGAATCGTGGGTGACTGCTCCCTGCTGAAGTAGAAAAAGTTAGTGGAATTGACCCGTACTTAAAAAATTGTGAAAGTTCCTCTCTCACATTAGCCAGCACTCGATGTAATGTCATGTGTTTGCATAGATTTTCGAAAGCGAGAGTAGGCATCAGATGGCAGTAAAAAAACGGATTTGAAATACCTCGATATCTTTGGTATGTCTCACCTGAAGTGTTCCATTAGAAATTGTGATGGGACGGAGTAAGCTGGCAATGTGTTGAAATCGACCCCCAACCGAAGGCTTCGAGCCAGAACAGTTCGGCCGTGTAGAGTTAAGACGCTGATGTCGTCTCCGACGAGTGATGGTCTTGGAGACGAATCACAGAAGCCTCATTAAAGCAATATAAATCCAGTTTATGTAGCAGAGGATGGACTTCACAGACAACAACACAGGACACTCAAGACAGAAATGCAATAATTATTTGATGGTTTTAAGCACTCCACACAACTCTTTGTACTCACTTCACTGATCTCAATTCTCAATCTCGCAGCTCTCTGCCTCAATTTTCACTCATCTCATTTATCCCCGTTCTCGCAGCTCTCTCACCCACTTTTCATCCAGATGGCTCAGAGTCATTCCCCGCTGTACTGTCATCAAAGTTGTAAAGGCACCTTCGCCCATCCGAACCCAGCCGACTGCACCCCTCTTTTTCCTTTGGGAGGTCTCTCCGTTCGAACCTGGGTCCGCGCACGTCCAGCTATTTTCTTGATGCCACTGTTCTATGACAGGCCGTCTTTTATTTGTTAATTGTAACAATTCCAAGTTCAATCGACATTCTTGCATTTTGCTTTCAGATGAAATGTTTTATGGACTTTAAGCCTGGAGGTGCACTTTGCCACATCTTTGCTGCTGTCTACAAGTTCAAGAGCGAGCAGGGATGGTAAGTGGGTCAGCTTTCGATCCTTTGCTGTCCAAACAATTTATCCAAGTCTCTTGGAGTGGAAATATTTGTTAAAGGGGCGGTGCAACAATTTGCGGACTTTGGCTAATTAATTGCGGGAATTGATCCCGGCCACATATAAAACGAAGGACTGAAAACTATTCTTTTCTGCTTGCCCTAGTTTTCACTAAAAAAAAAAAAAAAAGAAATTTGTACCTCTGGCACCTCTCAACTCAACATTGAAGCGGCACCAGCATCGCCTGTGACGTCATTCGGAGTGGCGTTGGTTTCCGGTTGGGTTCTTCTGGCTTCCGTTTCCCCAGCGCTCGCCGGCTTGCCAGGCTCGCCGCTCTCCCGCCGATTCCCGACCAACATGGCGGCATGGGCGGACGGCCTGAGCGACGTCGAGCGCAAGATGCTTGCGACGCGGCGGGCAGTCGAAGTCGAAGTCGAGGTCGATACACCAGGAACAATAACGATACCACGATACTACGGACCACGACCAACGCACTCCGTCGAGCGAGGGAAAGACGAAACGTCCGGGTTGCTCGTGTAGCCGCCGTAAGCGCCTCGGGCGTCGAAGGATGACGGCGACGGCAGGTTTTGTTGACTTGCAGTAGATGGCGCCACAAATAATTCATACCCTTTTAGCGGCAATATTAGGCTTTTGAAGCGTTTCTGCATGCCTAAACAGCAAGATTTTTTAAACTTAACCTTAAATCAAGCTTACAATTGCCTAACACTATCACTTACAAAAACCACTCCGAATGACGTCACACCACAGGTTCCAATTGCGGCCACCATGTGGCCGCAGGTTGGGAAAAAAAAGTGTTTCTTATTTTACGATTTCACAACGAAATAGAGGTACTTTGGTGTGTGGTGGCACTTTTTCCCTTACTTATGCCGAAGTAAACAATATAAAAAATACAAGCTGCACATTCGTTCAGTGTTAAAATCATTGCACCGCCCTTTTAAGCTCACCCCAGCTGTAAGTTTGTGCCATGTTGCTCTTCTGATATGTTCTTCTTTCACATATGGCTATATTTTGTTTCACCTTGTGATGAATCGCTGTGGACGCCGCGAGTCACCCCACTCACCCCAGCCAGTCCATTACTTGAAACATATCACATAACTATGTGTCTGTACGTTGCTGCCCCCCCCCCCCCCCCCCCCCTCCCCCCCCCGCTCCTCGAAGGTCACGGGATATTCGCACGGCATTGGATTGACTCTGCCAACTCGTCTGTTGCCAGGTGAAGCAGAGTATAGTGTAAATGCACCATACTTAGGGGGGGACACTACCCAAAAGCGTCAAACTCTTGAACCTTTGCCTTAATATGAATGGAATTTGCAGTATATAATGGCAGTAATGAGGCAGAATGCAGTGCATAGTTTCATCTGTGTACATGAATTGTAAAATAAATTATAGTCGTTTTTATCAGGAACACACTGACTGTTTAGGAAAACCATTGTTAGAAAACTAATGTAATACACAATGTTTTTCTTCACTAGATCTGCAACACATTGCCTGCAGAGTGCAACTGTGAAAACAAAAATTCCAAAAAGTAATTTATTTATGCTAACATCGCAGTGATCAATAAAAAAAAAATTTTTTTGCCTTTTATGTTGGTGACAAAATCTTAACATCATTTAGAAAAGACATCCACAAAGTCAAAAAACAATTCCACAGTTACATTGCCCATAAAATTCCAGTTAGAAAGAACATTGAGTGAATCTTTCCTTTTGTCCTATTACCAAACGATAGTTTTCCTAAAGTGAAATTTATATGCCAAAAAGTGGGAACGTAAAAAAAATGTGTTCAAAGTATTCCTCTACCTTTTCTTTAGTATCGATGGACCGAAAATAATTTACAAAGAAATGACCATGCAGTGTTAACTTATGCAACTTTCTGGGAATACACTCTAGATCAGTCATGGGCACTTTACCAGTAAAAAGTAACAGTGTTACAGTTACAGTTACCTATGGGGAAAAAGTAACTGTTACAATTACAGGTTTCAAAAAAGTAACGTGTTACAGTTACTGCGAAAACAGTAACGTCGTTACTTTCTCGTTACAGTACGAAAATTGGACACAAGAAATCCCAAACCAAAACAATAATATTTTAGTTGTTACACTATAGTGAAAAGAAAGGTAAACTGAGATATTAGAAAACGTTAAACCCGAAGTGTGTTTCTTGTTTTGCATCATTTGCCATTTCAGCATTTCGATGGGCATAATTTATTTGCAATAATTGTTATAACCAAGAATCAACCGTTTTTCAAAATTGTCATCGGCACGTGTCAGTGAACGTTTTGGTTTATATTTCCCTCCGAAACGAATGAGGAAAGAGATGGTCACATAATTACCTTATGGGATATATTTGGAAGCAGGCCTAAACATAGCAGGTCAAACAGCTTCGAAAGAATAAAGGGGGAAAGGAGGCAATTAACTTCTGGTGCTTTACGAGTGAACGGTGACCACCCCGGCGTCTATGTCCGAAATGCCAACTGTAGAAGTCGTGTCCCCTCGAGAGCCTCCGAAGAGAATGAATAAGTGAAACAAGCTCCGCTTTTCTGCACAATATGGGGACGGCTTTTTTGGAAACTAATAGGGAAAAGGAAACGGTGAACGGCTGGGTGTAAAAGTAACAGCACGGACACAGCCCAGACGGAATACTCGGAGACATATCACACGACCACCAGCATCCGCAGATGGTCCCCACGAAAGAAGAGTGAGCCAAAGTCGGTGAAACAGACATTGTTTGCCGCCCCTACCACCGCAGGTGGCGCTTCCTTTATCTCTCAGTTTTGTGCTGACTCGTCCTTCGTCCATTTTCGGTCGTGGGCTAAACCAGGCAATTTTTTGTTTGTTTAATGCGTGACCACGCTTCTCTTTATTATTATTTTTTTGTCATCGAGGAGCTTGGAGAAAAGTACTTCAAGATGGAAATTTTTTCATGTCCACGGCAGTGGGTTCTAATTTATATGTTAAAAAAGTAACTGTAACGGCCTAAACAGTCACAGTTACCCAATAAAAAGTAACAGTGCCACAGTTACGAGTTACCAGTATTAAAGAGTAACGCGTTACAAGCAAAAGTTACCGGAAAAAGTAACTAGTAACTAGTTACTGCCCAAGACTGCTCTAGATATTGGTGGATGGAAATATAGCATTTTCCAAAATTAACTTTTTATGCAAAAATGTCTTTTTCTGGGCAGTGTCCCCTTTTAAGGACCCCTGAAAAGAAAGATTTTTTTTAACAATCTGGTTGGGTCACGCAAGTAAAGAATATTAATTTTACAAGATAAAAAATTTTGGAGCAATATTGACAGTGCGATATGCGATTTAGTTGGCAGTCATCTCCTTTCCACTTGTCTTCACTCTCGGCATTTCGGGCGCGTGGAGGAGAGGTGAATCGGCTTCGCCTTCTCGACCGAGATGGTCATTCCGGAATGACCCGTGACGTCACGGACTTCGCACAGAATTTCAAATAAATCTTTCATCGTCAATTTTTTTTTTTCCAAAATATTTTTTTTCGCGTAAAATTAATTTTTTTACATTGTGTCCCCAACCAAACTGTTCAAAAAAACATTTTTTTTTGGGACCTTTAATATAGATATAGCCAAAAAACTTGGCTATGCATCATTAATCGCTCAGTGTTTGCCAAAATGTAGCTCTGGCAGTTGGGACCAGGTACCAATGTTTCCAAACTTATTATCTGCCTAGAAAGTTATAGATGACTTTCAGGAACTTCTAGTCCCCAAACCCGTAGTTGGTACGAAGAGTTTTTGTCAAGACATCTGCTGGAGCCATTCATGACACCGGCGAGCCGATTTCTCAAGCGTCATCTTGTTTTTGTTCCTAATAGTTGCCAGAATTATTAACAAAAAGAAAATGCTGGCCATTGTTTCATTTTGTTGGCGATTTTTACGGTTGGAACAGTCAACTACGGCGCAACTGACCATTTTAAACCTTGTGTGAGTGGACAGACTACAGTGCAAACACGGCCCAAAGCACACAAAACATAGCATAACAGCGACGAATGCCTCCAACATGGATTTAGGCGAAATTTCCAAACTGGAAGTAGCGTTTCATCATGGTCTCGTGCAAGAACCCTATAAGCATTGTTCACTCCGAAGTTTATTCTTGTGGGGAGAAAAGCCACAGTTCTTTTCTATCCCAAACACCCAGTACTGCGTGTAACAGTTTAGGACATGTTACCTTCTGCCGTTGGGCGCCTTCGCGTTCCCTCATTGACGTCGACGTTCAGCCGAGCGTTTTGTGCCTCTCCGTTCCAGGCGCAGGTTTGACTTCCAGTCTCCCTCCCGCATGGACCGCAACGTGGAGATGTTTATGACCGTCGAGAAGACTCTGGTGCAGAACAAGTGCTTGTCTCTTCCCCACATCTACATCTCCCCCGAGGTGGGAATCTCTCTACTTGTAGTCCTGAGCAGCCGTAGACACAATCCAATGGGTGTAATCATTCGTCCATTGGAAATATAGATTTGTTTCAAAGGGTCATCCCTGCCCTTTGTTTTGGGAATTTGTGAAAGCAATTGATCGGGGTTGGAAACTGGGTTTGCGAAACTGTTCCTCAAGCTGCTGAAGGCCATGCAGGGAAGCTAGCCTTTATCTGCTTAAAGGAACACCTTCCTGGAAGGGTCAACTTTTGAACCCTTGGCTTAAAGTTAATGAAATTTACAGGGTAGGCTGGTGGCCATGCAAAAGGGTGCATAACAAAATTTCAGGTCTGTTTTTTAAATGGGGAGGAAGTTAGAGCAGCTTCTATCAGCAACACGCCTACATTGTTTAGTTAATCTATCGTCAGAAAACTATCACAATATTGAAGACTTTTATTCGCTAGATATGTAGCAGATTGCCTAGGGGGTGCAGCTATGAAAAGATTTTTTTGTAAAAAGCCGTTTATTTCTATAAATATTCTTTTCTGCAAAATTTGTCAACTTTTTTATCTTCTGTGTCTTCGACACAGTGTCAACATTTTTTATAAAAGACATCCGTAAAGTGACGACAAAATTCCATCACCGCATTCCTTATTAAATGCCAGTCAGGAAAAGTGAAGAACGAGCCTTCCCTGTATTGCCATTATCAAACGATATGACTAAAATGGAATTTATACCAAAAAGTGGAACAGAGAAAAATGTGTTTAAAGTGCTCCTAACCTTACCTTTTCTTCAGCTTCGGTAGACAACAAATAATTTATAAAAAATTGACTACGCAGTGGGAATACTCTAGATGTTGGTAAATGTAATGTCATTTTTTAAAATCAAATCTTTTTGCAGAATTTTTTTTTTTTTCTGAGTAGTGTGCCCCCTTAACCAAAACAAGACTCTAATTGACAGGATGTATCCTTTGTGAATCCTGCACACTTAGCGGCAGTGTCGAGACCTGACCTTGAGTTTGAGAGGTCGTGTGTGCACAAATGCATAAAGAAAAACATGACAAACACTTGTGTTGTTAAAGCAGTGATTGCGCAAGCGAGCTGGTGGATGTTAACCATTTTGTTCTTAGCTTGAGGCTGAGGCAGGAAAAGAGGAAAGTTTCAAAGTAGAAGAAAAATGAACAGTCGAAGACACGTCTAACACAGCTAAAGAGAAGTTTATTTGGTCACCCTCTTGTATACACTCCACGAACCTCACCACAGAACCTCCTCGACCTCCAAAGCCAAAAGATAACAAAGGTCTCACCTCTTTCCACCACAATTGTCAAATGACCTTGAACATCCTTAACGTTTTCCACAAAGCAACGCACCCTAGCTCCCCTCTCCCGGGAGATAATTGACAGCCTTCGCGTACATAGCACAGCCTCCCCCTCTACACTCTGGCCCACAATCCCAAAGCATTTTGGCAACAAAAGATACCAATCCACCTGATCCCCACCCTAAGACACAAAGGAGGAAACCACTTACACCCTTTCACATTCAACAACCACTTTACAAAACTCTCAAATCTATCTGCAAGAATGTTTTTGCACTGCTGCTAAGCTGTAAGGACACCTGACCATGGCAGTTGCCCATTGATTTCATTCTTATTGTTTCTTTTACAACCCTTTTGATGTCGTTTAACTCCCTGTGTATTATTTCTGTTTCGGACCAGCGTGGTATATTGGTATACAATTATTGCATTCTTGAACATGTTTCGCTATTTCCGAATTAGCCACATTGTTTTTGACGTTTTTTTTGTGTTCACTCAATCTCATTTATACACCTTGACATCTGCCCCACATATTTAAAGCCACATTCCAGGGGGATTTCATATACCACTCCATTATCACATAGAATAGAATATTCTCGATGCGTTTTTGTGCATTCCCTTAAACTTTTGTGGAAGGGTGTGAGCTTACTCAACTTGTAATCCGAACTAAAAACCATATCCACATCGAACTTTTTGACACAAGCTTTTAAGTTGTGAGAAATTTTGTGATAAAACGGAATTACAATACTTCTATTTTTTGGCCTTTGCTTTGTTTCTCCTGCCTTTTGACTCGAAGTTGGTCAAGAGTTTTGGGTGACACTCTGTGTGTCTGCAGGTGGAGAAGCAGCTCATCTCTCGGCTGAAGGACATCATCAAGAGGCACCAGGGCACCATTGCAGAAACTCAAGACGATGCCAGTCACATCGTCTACCCTCCCGCGCCCGTGACAGACACCTCTGGTGAGAGGAGCCACGACTGGCTATAGTCGGTTACAGGCTAAGAAGGTAGCGGCAAATGCCCCTCAAAGGGAATCATATATCCCTCCGCCACCTCCGCATCCAGTAGCGTCCCATCGTTTCAGTGACGTCGCGGCCAACGCGCGAGGAGGGTCTTGCCTTTCTGTACATATTTGCTTTATCTTTCGACTTTGACTTAGCATTGTGGAAGGCACGAGAGGGAGATTAGAGTTGCCCCCCACCGACGGAAACAAATGCGACTTTCGGGGATTAGCTTCCCCCCCCCCCGATGGATACAAAGGCTGCTTTCAGGGGCTCGGTTCCCTCTCTGATAAATACAAAGGTCGCTTTCATAGAAAGTGGGATCGGAGACAAGTGGGAATCCACTGAAGCGGAACAAGGGACGTTTCCAGTGAACTCTTCTTCTGACTGCGGAGGGATTTGAAACGGGCGCATCACGCTTGTGGGAGGAGCTTCTCCTACCTTCTTGACTTGTAACCGACTATAGTCTGCGTTTTATTAGCTGTCTTGGTGACTTCGAGGCAAAGGGCTGGGCTTCGGATCCCCAGGTGGCGGGTTCGAATCCAAGCCAAGGTGTCCACAGTCTGACTGAGGCTTATTGCAGTGGAGGCACCATCTAACTGAGATTTCGATTGCACGTCAAAAGTGGTGGTCGAAATTAATCTTCCATGCTAGCATGCCAGATGCCTTTTCTTGGTTTGGCACGTAAATCCCCAAATTTGACTTTCTGCACTTTGTTGGATATTTTTGGGAGCCACTATTGGCTACGTTTTGGTTTGAATTTCGACTTGCTGCTGTCGATCTGTTGGCAGTAATACATGCCATTGGAGTACTCTAAGCGGGACTCCAGGCTAACCTACATGAGGTAGGATGAGGCTTCCTATACATTTTTAGAGCGGAGCTGTTAAGAGCTAGTTTCCCTGGGATCGTGTCCGTTACCATGTCGACAGAACACTCTAGCTGTCCAGAGTGTTGTGTTTGCCGGTTGCCTGCTTGCCACTGTCGCTCATAGATGGCGACAACATTTCTTTGGAGGAAGAAGAACGGGAACGGAACGAGCGGCGATATGCGCAGCAGCGCGAATAGTTCTGCAACTGCCGCGAGGTCGCTATCCCCTAAAGTTTCACTATGTCGAGCGCTTCAGATTCCTTTGCAAAAGAAGAGCAGATCGCTCGCCTGGAAAACCACCGTCGAGAACAGAAGCTTCAGCTCCGCTGCTCTTCCTGCTTCCCGAGAATAAAAAGGCTGATAGTTTTTTTTTATTTGCCTTACTTAGTTTAATTTTGCTTGTATGTAATGCACTCCCTTACAGGGATCAGAACTCTGTCATCCTATGCCGGGCGCAAGTTTGTCTGCTTCTTTTGCGGGGGTTGTCGTGACATCAGAACGCCGAGCTCTGATTGGTTCTGAATGAAGGATAGTGGGTAGACCTCAAGGCAGCTTGCTTCAAGGTCTACCCACTGTCCTCCAATCGGAGCCAGTCGGAACTCGGCGTCTTTCTGACGTCACCGCAACTCCTGTGCAGGAAGCAGACGTCTTGCTCTCGGCATTGCCTCTTTTAGAGTAAAAGATACAAACATTCACATTCAAGTTAAACAATTTTCTGTGGGTCCTAGGGACACTGAACTAACAGCTTGGCTATTAATTTTATTTGATAAAAAATTGTGCATCATTTCAACTATCTCAGTTAGATGTCAAGTGCCATCCAGTTTAAAAGCCATGCTGCATATTCTGACTTGATTATTTTCCTTCATGCATGCAACAATATGTCTAGCAATTATATGTTTGAGTAGTTTAAACCTAATACACATAAAGAAAATGGGGTGATAGCTAACTGCTTTCTGAGGGTCACCGGATTTATGCGCTGGTGCGATGATTGCAAGCTTTCATTCGGCGGGTATCCTTGGGGTTGCCAGTGACGTCTTGAAAATAGCGCACAAATATTCTTAATACGCTTCTGCATAGCTTTTGGGAGAATTCAGCGAGAAATCTACAGTAGGGGGTCAAACAAAGCCGGTGAATTGTTTTGAAATCAAACGAAGGTGGATATCGTGGTTGAACTGCAAAACTGCCGAACCCGTTGAAGCGTCGGGTTGCCGAAGGCACGGGGCTAAACCTGAAATCTTTTCTCCCTGTTGTGCAGAAGAATACGTGCGCTTGGTGATGAAACGAGACCGGAGTGCTCTCATCCACTGGTGGTATTTTCCCGACAGGTGAGACGAAATGGCGTCCTAACTGCTCCTTCCACCCTTCGTTTCTTTGCTTTCAAGTAACTGCTTTCACCTTGCTTGTCTCGCTTCCATTCTTCAGTTTCGACACCTGGGTGGCCGGCCTTGACATCGACATGGAGCCAGACTCCCCTCAAACCCATACCGGGCCTCACGAGGTATGTGCAAAGTTGATCTGTGGCCGAGTCTTTAAACCTTGGAGTGCCGGTTTGGTTTTTAGAGCGCAGCTCTTAGGCGCTTGCTTCCGGCTTGAGGGGTGTAACTGCGCGGTGCATTATGGGTAGGGCTCCGTGTTTTCGAAGTTAATTTTTTGTGAAATTCGGAGGGTGTTTTTCTGAGTTTATTTTTTACCGAAAATTTGGCGTTTATCGGAGTTTCTTTTTCATAAATCCCCAATTCTCCAAAATTCGGAGATTATTTTTGTAATGTTTCCTATTAAAAATAATAAATAATAACCGGATGCAGACATATGCCAGATAAAAAATAAAACGCGCTTGTATCAATTAAGATTTCTTCAGTTGAATTTGACGTCGGTGTCATTGGCAATACTAATTTGTCCCGTGACAAAAGTTGCACACAAATTTGGCTTCGATAAACGTCGATACCTTAAAATCAATAAACTGCCGGAGACAGCCGCAAGGAAGTTCGTAGTCATCCCATCGATCTATCCCGCTGCCGCGCGAGGTGGATGTAATAGAGAAGTTTTAACTGCCCCTTTTCCCTATTTTATGCAATCTCTGTGGTCCATAGCTTTCACTGTTACCCCCAGAAACATACCCTCTCCTTTCTCTAAATCCCAAATCCCATGGCCCAAACTGAAAACCAAAAGAGTGGCTTTTGTCGTGACACGAACAGTACAATGACCTGCTTCCCTGAACCAACCTTGACGAGACAAGCCGTAAGACCCCTTTTGACAACGGTCCGAGGCTTGAAAGATAATTATGGTGTCATTTTCCCAGGACCATTGAGCCTGTGCTGCCGAAAATGTAAAAAGAAAAAAAAAAAAAACTTTTTTTATTGTTTGGGGGGCACATAACAATTCGGAGTTTATCGGATAAATCCGAATTGCCAAGAATTTTACCGGCGGGTGTTTTTCGGAGTTTTTCCTGATTTATCCGAAAACACGGAGCCCTAATTATGGGAAATGTTCCATAATGCATCGCGCGGGACTCTTGTGACGTCACGTGTGATGTTACAAGGGTCCTGTGCAGTGCATTATGGGATATTTCCCGTGATGCAACGTGTGGGGAGGAGGAGGAGAAGGAAAGAGGAGAAGGGAAGTGGGAAGGAGGAGGTATGAGGCAGAGGAGAGTAGGGGTGGAGCTTAAAGGATGAGGGGAGGAGGAAGTGAACGAGGAGGACGAGGAAACGAATGGAGAATGGGAGGAGGAGTAGCAGGGAGGATGAGAAGGAGGGAGGGGTATACCCTCCCCTCAGTACCCTTCCCTCTTCCTCCTCAAGAGCTGCGCTTTAATTCGGCGTTACAAGGTGTTGTAAACGTCTTTAATTTTTTTTCCTCCCTCACGTCGAACAGAAATTTTGGCCCCATGCAGAAAAACTACAGCGTGCTTTATTAAGTATATTTACCTATTTATCGAAGACACACTGATCTATGAGCTCGGAGTTAATTGATGCGTGCATGCCTCCAACCTAGGATATTTTTTCATGAAATATACCTTTCAAGACTCGGTATTATGCAAAGTGGTACCTCGGCCTTGCACCCTGGGGTCACTCTCTCGTGTGGCCCTAACCGTCATTTTTTATTCGTAAGGGGGACTTCCTTATTTAGTTTATAGACCAATCGCTGTATTACCCAAGCATCAAGGAGAATGCAGGGATTGGTGTTCCACGCGTCGCACGTGCTCTGCTGGCATCAGCAGTAGTAACTTTACTAAAGCAAATACCTAAAAAAAATGGTATCTTGCACGCGCGTTCGTCAACGCTTTGTTTTGGTTATATTACTTCGAATCTTTTATACGGGAAAGGCGTGTGGCGCGTGGAACACCAATCCCTGCATTCTACTTGATGCTTGGGTAATATAGCAATAGGTCTATTTTTAATTTCCAGATCTCAGTGTTCGCCATAAAGCATGAGGTTGAACGACATAGATCTGCCGTACTGGAACAATGTGGGAGAAAACCGAGACGCGTGCCGTCAACAGGTCTTATTATAGGACAAAACATTGCTCTACGCGTAAAAATAAAATTGACAGCCTAGTTGGGAGAGGTAGGGAGCAAATCGAAACTGAGACCTGCATGGTAGCCTGCCCAAGTACACTGGGGCGTGGCACTAAGATGGGCTAAAGAACAGAAGCCAGATTCATAAAAAAACCTCTTACCTATGACAACTTAGCTACGATGTTCGTAAAGTTACGATCATCGTAAGATGAGGCGAGAACGGTATTCACGAACACGTTATTAAGTGAGAGGAGGAAAGTTACGACCTCTTACGGAGAAACGACGACTTCCGGTGCTGTTGCTATGGCGTCGTTGTCTTCGGCAACACGAACAACCAATCGGAGAGCTCGGCATAGTTCGGAGCACGTGAATTTTTAATAACAAACACAGGCTAACTACTCATTAAAAGTCAGCTCTGTGTACATCCTGTCCTCTCTGTGTGTAAATGTTTAGTGTTCAAGCTGTTTCTCATCAACACAGGTGGCCTTTCCACCATCGTTTCGCGTTCGTGTCCGTGCAGTGATATATCGACGCTAACACGATTTAAACGCTTCGTTGACTGCTACGAACTCGATCGCTACAAAGTCAACACAACTGTCATCGTTGGTAAAAGCCCTGTGCCAGTTGTTTGCAAAGCGACGTAGATAGAAACAAACCGCCGCGGCCTTTTTCTTGGCCTCGGAAATGCAAGAGCGAGCCGACATTAAGATACGTTTGAACTACGATAGTGTCAGCAAGAGCCACGCAAATACCTGTTCACACTCGGAGCGGTCGCGCACGTTTGATCGAAGTGCTGGATTCACTCTGTTAGACCGCTTCTCGGTAAGCGCTTCGGGACCGATCATTTACGATTGGCGGGGGGGGGGGGGGGGGGGGGGGGGGGAAATGGGCAAGCACGAAGAAGGCTGAGGAAGGGAAGAGAATCCTCGTCTCCTGTCTCTAGCATTACTAGTGCTCTCTCTTTCTCCCCTTGCCCTCCATTGCCCTCCTTTCCTGTCCCGCCCCCCTAGTGCTCATGCTTTCTCTGTTTGCCTGGCGTTGCCTTCACCTGCACTGCACACAACTAGTGACACGGAGTATAGTCAAGTAGATGGGCACCTTTAAAAAGTATTGCTATGTTTGTTTGATATTGAAATGAATATACTCGTAGTTGTGTGTACCAGTTGAGCTTGTTGCTCAAGTGTTACTCACTGTGGATGTCCTTTGCCCAATACAACTTTCAGGTTAATGCAAAGTGGCTCATTGACCTGGATGAGTACAACGAATGGATGAATGAGGAGGACTATGAGGTCGAAACAGATGCCATGGTAAGCTGCCTTTTTGTCGACCTTGCTTGTGCTTTACCGCTTCGCTGTTCCTTACTTACGGTTCTGTTTGACATGCATTTTAGGGCCGAAGGAGGTCTCCCAGGGGAAAGTACACTTTGGATGAGGTGAGTGTTTTTTTTTTATAGTGCTTTACCAGTTGGTTACACCCTTTAGAGTGAGTCTTTTATTCTTTGAATGAAATTGGATTTTTATTGGTTTACTTTTAATAAGACCGAAAGGGTCATATAATGATTGCAACTCTTTGTCTGAATTACCTTTCCATTGTATACATTTTACTTGTCTGGGAATCAGCTCTGTGACCTTTGTACTGCAGTAGGCCCTAAGTCCTTGTCAGCGCTGCTCGTTAAAAAAGGTTAACTTTAACTGTTGCACTGCACTGACCTTATTTCCTTTGTGCATGAGGAAAACTATACTCCAAATTTAAAAAAAAAAACTATTAATTAACTTTGTGCCATATAAACATCAGCCCCCAAAAATACTTGGACGTCATTCATAGAAAAGTGGTGACAGCTATAAAAAAAATTTTGAGAACTGATCACAAACTTACAAAATATGGCTGCATGGCTGCTGTCTTGGTTCATCTAACACGGTTCATAAGAAGCAAAAATGAGACACTTGTCAAAGAATAGAGAACAAGTCACTGCTTACTGTTGATTTTCGGGGAATTGCCGAGCCATCGTTGCATTCCAGTTATGCTCTAATGGTTGGGTCCTGGCTGGTCTCCCACAGCTGCTCTCTGGTGAAGGCGAGCGGCGCGACAGGAAAGGCATCAAGAAACGCAAGAGGTCTCCGTCTCCCCCTTTGGACAAGCGGAAGCGCAAGGGGTGAGTCCCTCTCTGCCCCTTCTCTCTCGGACTCTGGTCTTGCGCTTGTGCACACTAACCAAGGAGCTCGTTGCGAGGCTGGTCTGACACACACAGCATTTGGCACGAAAGGACCATGGGACCTACTGGGTGACTCCTACTTGGTTTGGTCACACCTGACAAAAGATTTGTGTGTAAAATTCGGAGGGGGGGGGGGGGGGGGGGGAGGGAGGGAACTAGCGTATCAGATGTTTGAGAAAACAGCCCCCCCCCCCCCTCCCCCCCCCTTCCCTGTCCTAAATTCGCACATGTGAAGGGGGGGGGGGGGCGGCGGGGGGGGGGGGGGGGGGGGGGGGGGGTTCAGGACATGCTGACCTCCCTTTAAATCCGTCGCTGCATACCACTCCACACAACGTTACCACGTTACGTGATGTCCACATTTTTTTTTTTGTCAGTTCCACATTTCTTTTTTGTCTTTTCCTGTATAGCCACCTCTGATGTATTGTGTGTAGATACATAATGACCATGAGGGTGCAGTCTACTCTGACCTGAGAGTGACTCACCGATTAGCCTCTGTGATCTGTATCGAGACAATAAAAAATCGGATAAATCTTGCTGGAACTGGTGGGTGATGGTGAAAACAGCCTTAATTTTTTACAGCGAAGCTGTTTATGGCTAGGGTTCCGTGGATTTTTCGTGTGCAGTGATAAAACTATTCTCGCATCGCCGTACGTGCATGCCTTCCCCGTATTCACCAACTCATGTTTACAAACAAACCGGAGTGCCCCTAGCGGACGCCACCGGCGCCGTGCATGCGCGGTGGATGGTGGGCAAAAAGCCCGCCGTCGCCCATAAACAAACCATTGAATAGCGTTGTTGTCGGCGTCGGTGGGAGTCCCCGTGCTCTTTTTCGCGTTGGAATTGTTGATGCTACGTCCTCCTAACAATGTCTGACTACTTGAGCGGCTTCAGCAAAACTAACGAGGCAAAACTTTGCGTGAATAATGTGACGTGCGCCGAGTCATTTCACGTGGACGCCGCAGAATGGGCGCTAAAGCCTGACTCCCATGATGAGATTCTGCTCGCTGTTCTCAGACGCGACGTTGCTCGGGCTGCAAAAGCGTGGACCGTAGCTGAGATGGTGGACGTCGATACTGAAAACCGCAAGTAGAATCGGGCATTACAAGTCGGTGATGCCACTAGTAACAATAATGATAAACATCTTCTTGTATCTGTTTACACTTAGCTTACTTACCCCAACCAACCTTCAAAAGTGTTTTGAGGCCTGCACTTAGTTCTTATCGCAATTACCGGGTCAACATTTGGCTTCCGGGCCGCTGTCGTTTGAACGAGCTGACGACAAAAAGCAGCCAAGTTTGAAAGAGCAGACGACAGTTCGAACGCATGCGTAATGGGGTACGGGCAAGAAGCACTGCCGTCCCGCGTTAACAAACCACTCGAATGTCACGTTGTCGGCGTCTGTGTGAGTCTGCCTACTCTCTTTCGCGTTGGAATTGTCGATTCTACGTCCTCATCGCAATGTCTTACCACTTTAATCGCTTAAGCGAAATTATCAAGGCTCGTTACGTCGCTAAACTTTCCCTAAATAATTTGACGTGCGGCGATTCATTCGCATGAAAGCCGCAGAATGGACGCCAAAACCATGATGAGATTCTTCCAGCTATTTTCGGTAGCGACGTCGCTCAAGTTACAAAAGTGTAGAAGGTAGCGGCGATGATCGACGTCGATACTGAAAATCGGAAGCGGGAACAGACCAAGCGTAACTAGTCTGTGATGACCACCGGTACCAATGATCAACACCTTGTATCTACTTTTTACACCGAGCCTACTTAAGTCTTTTGAGGTCTGCAATTACTTCTTATTGCAATCACCGGGTCAAAGTTCGGTCCACGAGCCGCTTTGGCTTGAACGAGCAGACGACAAAAAGCAGACGTTTGAAAGAGCAGACGAAAGTTCGAACGATCAGGTGGCCGTGTGGATTTGAAGACGCACTGAACCCGTGGGTGGTTCGGACAACTTGGCGGTTTTCTCTCGTTTATGTTGGAACAAAGCAAATACATCTGGCGACCACAAAGTGTTGCCCGCGCACGCAATCGTAGTTCGACAGCGTCTGGTTTGCCCTTTTCATGGCTACTATCCACGTTCTCGGACGAACGGAGGGGGCAAAAACACATGAAAACTGATCTTCAAACCTTTCCAGACTCTCTTGGTACAACCCCCGTCGCAGCATTTTGACGAGAAAGCAGATTTTTTGACTCGTTTCTTCCAAGGGAACACAGGAATGCATGTCTGGCACGGCGACTTCTGCCCACCGCCACAGACCGGAAGTGCGTCCGGCGCGCCACCACCGCGGCGTGACGTAGGAGAGTTGAGTTGGTGTATAGAAGGTTCATAGTAAATACCGTATTTACCCGCATTACGAAGACACTTTTTTTACCGAAAAATTCACACATATTTGGGGGGCAAGTTCATTACGCGGGGTAAAATTTTTGCTTGTACACACTTTGTGCGAATGTCATTTTAGTGCCAGTATGACATGGCACGTCTCCACTGACGGAGGTGCACCCATGGCTGGTTGTGGGGGCGCCGCAGTAACTATGCTCTATAAATTGTGAACCTTTTTTAGGGTGCTTTTGGCGTGCCTTTTGCCGAAGAAAAAGCGCCCTACGAAGCTCACTCAGCACGTAGAGCGACACGACCGTTCTTAGGCCTAACCACTTTTACGATATCACTATCCGAAAGCGGATCACAGACGACGGCGTGTTTGGTGACATCAATGCATCCGATGGACGAAGCACGTCCGGGGATGGGCAATTCCTCGACCCCAGCTTCGTTAGGCATGCGCGCCGCTCGGTTTCACGGTGGATCCCTTCCGCAACCACGCAATTGCAGCCATTACGAGAGCGGCTTGGCTTGACTTGGCCTGACCGCTTGGTGACAACAAAAAAATTGATTTAAGACTCACGGAGTTGAAAATTAAAAGTGCTTTCATTATGCAAGATAAAGAAAAAAAGTAAAAATATTGATGCCCGTTGTGGGGGGTGCATTCATTATGCGAATAAATATGGTAACCAAAATAAAGCGTTGACGAACGTGCATGAAAGATGCTATTTGTTTTAGGCTTTTGCTTTAGAACAGTTAACTGCTGCAGATGCCGGTAAGCGCAGCATGTGGAACACGCCCTCCATTCTCCTTGATGCTTGGGTAATTTAGCAATAGGTCTATTCAGTAGATTAATTATCAATAGGCACCATTTTCAAGATCAGTAGACTCTAAGGTAGATAATAAAGGTTTTTCAAAGATTTGCCGCTGTGCGACCCACGTCGGCCATGTCTACGCTCGCACTGCCCTCTCTTGTCGCCATTCCAAGCGTTTGCGTGCCTAGTTTCCTTTCCTTCCAGTCTTTCGAGGTGGCAGCCCCGTCGCGTGTGTTATCTTTCCGTCGGGTGGTGGTCGTGCGTGTCTAGTCTCCTCCGGCTCCTCGAGGCGGGTCTATGTCGTGTGCGAAACAGCTTCGCTGGTCATCCACCTTCACACAGTGGAATGGCGCATGATTCCTTTGAATAACTTTGTTGTGCTTCCTCATTTTATTGAAGCGGTGAGCCGTACCTTTCACAGTGCTTTTTCTCTCCCCCCCGTGTCTGGTTGCTGAAGAAATCCCATTTTCATTGTCGTCCGCACGCTCCATGCTTGGCCAGTCCCCATGCTGGCAATTTCTCGTAGGGTATAAGATGTTGCGATGTGGTATAACGCTCCAAATAAACCAAAAGTGTGAGCTCGTACTTCCATTCATTAGGAAGCTTCCTGGGCCGATCATGCACGCACGTCTGCAAGCCACTTCAGGCTTAATACATGAGCCTTCCAGAATATACCATGCAAGTGCCTATACTCCGTTTCACCTTGCAATGGACTGCAGCAGATGCTACAAAGTGTTTTGAATGTCTTGCATGACTATGTGCCCCTCCTGAAGGTCACGTGACACTTGTGTAACGGGGGATAGGTTTTGACAGTGTCCTCTGGTCTGCATCGTAAGGTGATACAAAGTATAGTGACAAGCGAGAATTAATGTCTGCTTTTTCCAATGCACAGGGGAGGGCGCAGCCCAGCCATGGGCAAGAAACGATCTTTCCGCGACGACGAATCAGACGACTTGACCAAGGACATGGAAGAGCCCTCTCCCGAGCCCAGTGTGCAGGAAGTCTCGATCCCCAAGAGCAGTGAGTGCAGCTCCTTTTGTAGCGCCATTTCCCCGGGTCGTTGCGAAACGCTGCGACAACCAGAAAACAGACAAGAGGTTCACCCTGTCCTTCGATAGCTCATCCTCCTCATTACAGTGGGGCAGTCTTCAGTCCTGCATTTTGAATTTTGTTAATTAGAAGAAAGATCGACATTTGTATGCCTTTCTTAATGCTTGGTGTACAGAACGTGGTGCAGTTACGCTGAACACACTAATGCCCTTTTTTTTTCTTACGATTAAATGCTGCCAGTTAGAACTGCTAGCATCGTGGAATGTGAAACCCAGCATCCGACAATGCTCCTCCCAATTGCAGAGCTTCTATATACAGCACACAAGCAGTTTTGAACATTCCTCACAGTTTCTTTTTCCGCCACTAAAAGTTCATTTACAGCTCGTTGTTTGAGACGCATGTCAGGCGCAGATGCCATTTTCATGAATTGCTTCAGCAGCGCCTTCTACGCCACGACCTTGAAATGACACACGTATGCAGGAAAGTTGAAGGTTGCAATCTGTGAAGTCATATGTTATTAAAATTGTACACCTGTGTGCAGAAAACCTGAAGGTTGCAATACATTATTATCTTTAATATATGACAAGAAAAAAAATGTGGAGAATAACTTTTTAAGCAACCCTCTTACTTTCAATAGTAACCTTGTCTACCCTCTTGGCAAGCACTACATATTTTAAGAGTAGTAGACATGCAGAAAAGCTTGGGACGCTGTGACTAGTAAAACTCTAGACAAAATGATGGTATGATTATAACAGGATTAGTTTCTTTACCCGTCACAAGCTTGTATGGAGAAACGCTTTGAACCTTGATTGACTGGACTGACATTTTCCTCACCGCCTCAACTTGCTCGTGTGCTTTCTGTGGCAGACCCGAACCAGCGGAGCAGCAAAGACAGCGAACTGCAGCCTGTCAAGGGGGGCACCCTAATGGATCTGGATGGAGCAGACCTGGACGAGAAAGTGAGGAACTGTTTTCTGAAGCTGCAATGAGTTTGTGCTATGCCATTTTACTGAGCAATGAAATAATATTGCAGGGCCACAGAGTAGACCAGTGCGTGGGCTGAATTACGAAGGCCCAACCCAGACCGAAAAATAGCTTAGCACTGGCCAGCTTGATGTGGATGTTTTCACTACGAGCCAAGTTAATTGTGCATTTTTCTGTTTGAATTTTAGGCTCAAAAACATTTTGCATTACCTGGCGGTGAAACTGGGAGAGAGGATCGCACGTAGAATATAACTGATGCTTGTGGTTTCCTTCTTCTGAAGGGTGACAGAGACAAGGGATCAAGGCCGGGCAGCCCCAACGGAGCTGGAAAGAGCGAGAAGGCAGACGCGCATGATGACAATGTGACGGAACAGGCAAACCACATCATCATCCCCAGCTATGCTGCATGGTTCGACTATAACAGGTGAGACTACTGGCGCTCGCTTTCCATTGCTTAGATGGTTCGTGGTTTCCTCGACCGAGATGAGACGGGGCACTGCGCTGAAGCGTTTGCTGATTCGTTACTTCCATTTTTCTGCGCAGCATTCATGCCATCGAGCGACGGGCCTTGCCAGAGTTCTTCAATGCCAAGAACAAGTCAAAGACACCAGAAGTGTAAGCTCTTGTCTCACCTACTTTTGCACGTTGTCTCTGTCTATATCTTGTGGAGATTTGTGCTACGATGGCTTTTAGTCAACTGGTAGTGGTTTCTTTGCATTCTCTTCCCTGGTCTGAGATTGTTGTTCTCCGTTTCAGGTACATTGCATATCGCAATTTTATGATCGACACATACCGGTTGAACCCCACCGAGTACCTCACTGTGACTGCTTGCCGGAGGAATTTGGCTGGCGATGTGTGTGCCATCATGAGGTGAGTGCGCTCAAGCTTTAGGGGGAAGTGTCTTAATGGGGCTTATCAGCCTTTTCTGCCATAGTGTCTTAGAATCACCAAAAATAATATAGAAAACGAATTTGGTAAACATCTAATGTTTACACCGTCAAACACTTCTCAACATACATCATTGTCGAATTCGGTCGGGAAATATCCATTTTATGAATTCTGGAACCAACATTTAAGTATGGTGGAAGCATACTGCAATTACTGAGGTCGTACTGGAACCAGGAAATCTCGGGCTTTGTGGTCGTCTTGCCCATTTCTGACGTCTGGGCTGTCCTGAGGGAGGGCGGTGGTGTGGTGGATCCTGTGCAGGGTACATGCGTTCCTGGAGCAGTGGGGGCTGGTGAACTACCAGGTGGATGCGGACAGCCGACCGACTCCTATGGGGCCCCCCTCCACCTCCCACTTCCACGTGCTGGCTGACACCCCCTCTGGACTGCAGCCCCTCAACCCTCCCAGGACTCAGCAGGTGAGTAGGTGCTGTGGCAACCCTGTCACCCATGCTTGCCCCTTTCTTCACCGAGGTATAATGTGGCTGTTGAGGCTTTTTCTTTGGAAATGGGCTGTTTCGAAGTGGGGAATTTTTGTGAGTTAAAATATGCCTATTATTGGAGGTTAGTACCCCTAAAGCCATGTCTTGTCTTTTTTTTTAGGGCTTGTTGCTAAATCTTTAGCCTTGGCACTTTCCTTATTGAGTTTCATATGCATTCATGGAATTGATATCTGCTGAAGTCATTGTTCCTTTAACAAATGGGCTACTACAGTGTAGACCGCATATAACGTATGTCGCGGGAGTCGCGAAAATCCGCACTGTAAGCGGTACCGCGCTATGACCAAAACAAATTTTTCAGGCCAAAATGCATGCCATCAGACAACTTACATTTGGAAAAGAATTTATTTTATGTTAGATGAAAAATAAAGCTTAGTTTGAGGAAAGTCTTTATTTCACCAGACTAGTACACTTCTCTCTCAAGTGTTTCACACATTTTGAAAGAAATTAGCGACTTTTGCCTGGCGCAGCCTTTTAACAGCGTCGCGGGTCGGGACGGACGTTGCGAGCGTTCAGGATTGCTAACCCTAATCACTTTTCTCCGGCGATGAAAACGCGTGAAAATTCACATCCTTTATACGGTACGCGCCAGTAATACCTTCAACTTTAGCACAGGCGTGAAATGTTCCAAATAAGAAATTCAAGCGATGTTCGAAAACACAAATGCTTAGAAAGCAGCACTGCAGTCGAAGTAAACAAACACGACGACACGGGCGTTTCTGCAGTGTTGAGAGTGCCGCCAGGACATCGCCGCACAAGTAGGTGGATCTTCCCTTCTAGTACGCACAACGAAAATTCACAGTCAAAGATAGCGCTTTTACGCGGAACGATGAGCTTCTACCATGCCGTCTACATCGACTATCAAAACCGACGCCATGTTTGCGGATAGAAGCAGCCGGCCGGCCGGCCCGCGACCGGCATGCAACGCGCGCAAACACTTCACCTCGACCTGCGATTGGTCTGTCGTTGCGGTTGTTTCCAACGTTTCCAACGCAGCGAAGGGACGCACGCACGTGAACGACACGTGCGTGCATCCCTTCGTCGCTATGGCAACTGAAGCCTCTCTTCGCTTCTCCCCGCTTCTTCAAGCAACCTCCTTGCCCCGCGAGTGCCGCTTGCGGCTCGCGCCGTTAACTAGTGTCGCACAGGGAAGCGTGCTCTCTGTGTCGGTCAGTCGGCGCGGTCGCCGGGTTCTTCCGAAAGCCGCACTATAACCGGTATTTCCCTTCGCGCGCCTGCATTTTAAGCGGTATGTAATTACATGGAGTTCTATGGAAGGCGAACCGGTGGTTTAAAAAAGCCGCGTTATACCCGGTCCTGCACTATAAGCGGTTACGTTGTAAGTGGTCTATACTGTATCAGTCTTGTCATGTAGAGTCACTTTCCACAACACATCAACCTTGACCCCTTTTACTTTGTATTTCCAAATACAAAAAAATATCTCAGGATTTTTCTTTCTTTTTTTTTTTTTGCATTTTAGGTAATGCGCTTTGCTCTTATGCGAAATTTGTCTATGTGGTCAAGGGGTATTTTGAAACAGCATCATTGCCCATTTTAATTAACTGATGACTCGGATGAAAGTGGCACCCCCAGTAAAGCAACCAAAACTGTAGAGTTGTAGGCGGACAAGGTTTTGTTCTTGGCGCGGCGAGACGCGACAACCTGGCTGTTGTGACCATGTGCCATCACAGCACCCGTTGTAGGCCTCCAGACGGACAATGCCACACTGCCCGCGTTTCTTTGATGTGTGACTCCCCACTTATCACATATCTTTTAGAAGTGGAGGATATATGCAGTCCTTGTGGTATGGAGTTTTGCTGTCTGTCACAAGACTTCTATGCTTTTTCGCACGATCAAGCTCTGGAGTGCCACCATGCCGATAGCCGCCAGCGTTATGTGCAGCTACCTCTCGGCTTAGTGGAATTGATGCCTTCAGGACTTGTTTTGCATATTCTTGCAGTTGTCTACACTTTTGATAATTTCAGCTTTATGCCGACGTTATTTTCCGGCAACTTATTGTAGCCGTCAAGCACCATTTCTCACAGTTGGGAATTAGAAGAATGGAACGGAACGGTCCAGTCGTTCCAAGAGTGTGAATGGGCGCAGTGTTTCCACTCCTAGGAGTTTAAAAGGAACGGAATTATTTGAATATCCAAATCCCTGGAGAGGAGTTGGAACGGAATTGGGGTCGCTCACTCCCCATTGCCGGCGCGCACGTGCAGCCTTCAGCAGCGCAGCAGATGCTGAACCTGGATAAGGCCAAGGAGGTGGGGACGGACGGAAAGCCGGAGGAGGGCGGGGCGGCCAAGCCGGCCATCGGGGACATGCTGGGCCTAAAGATGGACCAGTACGCCAAGAAGAACGCCTACCTGAAGCACCGGGCGGCGGCCACGGTGTCCCGGGAGTGGACGGAGCAGGAAACGCTGCTGCTTCTCGAGGCCCTGGAGATGTACAAGGACGACTGGAACAAGGTGTGCGAGCACGTGGGCAGTCGCACTCAGGACGAGTGCATCCTGCACTTTTTGCGCCTGCCCATCGAGGACCCCTACCTTGACGACCCGGCCGCCGGGGGTGGAGCCCTGGGTGAGCATACCTTCGCAGCTTGCACTTGGACGATCACGATGCGTTTGCCGGACATCGAGCGACGTGTGCTACACTTTGTTCAGTCCGTTTCAAGGGTGAATGCTACGGCCCTTTCGAGTCATTGGGCGTGCTGGAGGGAGACAAGACTGTACTCTCTCGCTAGTTTGGGCGGTGCTGTCCATGACACAGGCGGATGGGAGGGGAAGGCTGCTTTTGTATGAATTTTGAGTGACGGACTTATCTTCTAATGAGACACAGAAAAGAGGGTTTGGGTCAAAAAGGGAAATTTATTGATGTGATTGCTGCGCCGATTGCGCCAAACTGCGCCATTGGGCTAACCCTGCTACATCCTGCTACATTTCGCCAAATATGGGTAATCTGCGCCAAGCCTGCACCAGAGAACCAATTTTGGTCGCCTTTGAAAACCAAAACTAAACTGAGTACCGTAATTGAGCACACATGAGCTAGGTGGTGCAAGCAGCTGTCCGATACGAGGTACCCTGCATCAATCGTTCATCCTGTCTTGCAGGGCTTTTCTCTCCGTCTCTCCTCTCGCATCTTTCAAGAAAAACAAAAAACATTTCAATGATAGACGTGGACGAGTGCGGACGCTCTGACGCTAGCGTGCTGGGTACCAGCCGTGCCGTCGTGCTGTGAAACGAAACCATGTTCTTGCGCAGCGGGGGTTACTTTATGGGCTGAAGCACTCGCTCCTAAAAGCAACGGCTGTGGCCAAGCTATATTTGGTCTATGCCTGCCAGTCACCATAATCGCGCGACGTCTGAAGTTGCCGTACCCACGTCACTGCATTTATGGCACTTTCTAAACTAAAATGTAAGGACTGCCACATGTTCATCAACAATCCTGTTCTTGTTTAATATACTACTACAAACATCCCTTTAGCTCAAAGACTGCTGTGTCGAAGTATTGATTACCTAGGTTTCTCTCGGTGGGCTTTCTTTCGAGATGTACTCCGGTACGTGAAAAATCGGCCGTGAAAGATGTTGGTGAAGAGAAGTGAGCTGAAGCGAAGAAGGCAATGTCCGCATGCTGAACCCACACAGCGTGCTTATTTATCTCGAGTTCAGTCGTTGCACAAAGTGCTCCAAGAACTTTTCAATCCTGGCTCGCAATGTCTTGCATCGATGTGCTCAGGTTCTTTTTCTTTCTGTGTTTAGCTTGCTCCTCGCCTGCAGTCCTGGCAAGCATGTGCCGCTGGACTGTTTTTTTTTTTTTTTGTTGTATGTTGGACAGTTACATTTTGCATACAATTTTGTGAATTAGTTTTAGACGGAGTGGAGTGGCATCGTTTTGATCGAACAGCCATCTCGGCCCGCGCAACAATTTCGCATTGCACGGCAATAGTAATGTGTTTCAACAGTTGGAGACTTCTTCCATTTATTATATTACTAGTCAACCTAATGATGTGGCTGGTTATTATCAAATGAATTTTAATACATGCATTTTGGTCCACTATATTTGTATCATTTAACTGAAGCATTGCAAAAGTGTCATGTCATTGGCATTTCAGTTACATGTTGAAAGACTCCCAGGTTGTCTATCTTAACAATAATTAGTTGATTGCGGCGAGCAATGTGTCCTTCGTTTGTACACCACTTGAAATGAATATCTTTTTTTTTTCTAAGAATATCTGCTTCAAAAGCAACTTTCGCTGCTCCGAAACACTGTTTTAGCTGCTCCAAAAGCCAGTTTTGCTGCTCCAAAACTTTCTTTTGGCTGCTCCAGAAGGTGCTCCAAAACGGCTTAGGGCAAACACATCACTGGGAATTCCTCCGTCCACTCTTCATCAACTGCTGGGGTTACACTCTCGTACCTGTATTTTTGGTGAGGGCTGTCATGAGCTTTGCCTCCATGGGTCAAATTGGCTCGAGAGGGCCATAGCATTCGCTCCTTGCTGAGTTACTGTAAAATGAAGTTCAGAAAGTAACCCTTCACATCTTGTTTACCTTTGAACGGATATCCGTGCTCGCGCTGGTGCCCGAGAAAAATATTAGTGAGGCTCGAATCTTTCCTTCCTCCTTGACTAGTTTTCTTGCCTGAGGAATCGACGGTCTTACGTAGGTAATGCGTCGCATGCCCTTTATTACTAAGAGAATTCTCTTGCGATGTGCATGCTCTATATTGAGGTGATTGTTTGCATCAAATTTGAGTAGCGGTAAATACTGAAGGTAAAGGCCAGAGATGATACCCGAAACTGTTTTAATTTGGTTTCTGCCCGGTGTGGGCATACCGCCGAGAGCAATCATCTCTATTGCCTAATTACTCAAGTGTCACGTCATTAAAGAGGAGCCAATTGGTTAAAACAGCGAAATGATCCTCTCCAAGCTCAATTTTCGTGTCAACGCGTATCTCTCCTGCCAAAGACTAGAACACCGACGCACACAACGCACCAGCGCTCGATGCATCGGCCTTGCCGGTGGCCACGAGCTGATGGTACAGATCGGCCGCTCAGTATGTAGCAATTAGAACTTAAAAGTTATTTGCATACGCCTCGAAAAAAAGAAAAACCCAGTGTTGCAGGCGATAGTGGCCTGCGGCACTGGACGGGTTGTCAGAAAGGCAGTCCGACGACATCAGTATGGTGTTCTCTCACGATAGAGAAACAAGTATTGCTCGATTTCCTGCCATCGGCCTTTGTTTTGTGGTTCCTTGGCCTGTCTCTCCGGTTTCGCAGTCTTTGTTTTTACTGGGGCGATGCACAGGCTCCCGGAACTGCAGCACGTTTTCTGTGGTGTGCCTTTGAGTGGACCATTAAGTTCTTTTACTATTTATTATTACAAGAAACCAATACCTTTGACCAGATCGTTTAATCAAGCTAGCATACTGTTTTGTGGGTCACGAAGCTGTCGACGGGCTACAATTGGTGGATCACTCCCTTCCAGGACCCCTGGCGTTTCAGCCCATTCCGTTTTCCAAGGCTGGCAACCCGATCATGTCTACCGTGGCTTTCCTGGCCTCAGTGGTGGACCCCAGGGTCGCTTCGTCTGCAGCCAAGGCTGCCATGGGTGAGACCGGCTACTTGCATTCTTTCTGGGGTGCCTTTGCTGCGTCATGGTGGGACAAACTCGTGCCTACCACTTCATTCCTGCAGGCTCTCTGTATGCTAACACGTGTTAGGTCAGAAGGGAAGTAGAATTATACAAGGTTACTCTCCTCACTTCATGCAGCCTGAGGAGAGACTAGTCAGAGAGCTGCCACTTGGCACCATAAAATGATTGTCGCCCTTGGATTAGAGAACTATTCAGTGTGCTTCTGGTACTCCCAGTCGTTTCTCTTGGGAACGAACATTGTCTTTGTTTATGTAGTCAATCTGGTCAAGACAACTGAAGTGGGGAGGGAATCCCCATCGACGAGCCTAGTTGTTTATGCAGCCATCGTTTTTGAGTGTGTGGTGTCAGCAAACTGTCGCCCTTTGTTTTCCGCTGCTAGAGATGTGGCAAGTCTATGTAGTCTGTGAATTTGTGGACTCTTGTGTAGGCGGAACAGCTTATGTGCTGTCTCGTTCTGGAATCTGGTAGGATGGTGCTGAATAGTTAAACTGTGGTTGTTATTCTTGACCCCTTGATGCACCAAATTGTTCTACTCTGGGAGGGGGGTCTGCATATGTATAGCTGTTTTATTGAGGAGGGATCTACATATGGGGCAGTGGAACATCACTATACACTTCTCCGTGAGCAACATAAAAGAAAATGGAAATGAAGCTTGCGATTCATTTGTGCTTTGGGGGGCCTAGTATGAGATGACAAGGAACTTCTGCACAGCTAACCATTTCTTGCGGTGACTTGGCGTGCCCGAAGTTGGCTCTCGACACTTCGGTGCTTCCCGCGTTGCTGACGGCGTGTTGTTGCCTTCTTGGCTGCAGAGGAGTTTGCCAAGATCAAGGACGAAGTGCCGTCGGCCCTCTTGGACGCCCACATCAAGAACGTGGAGACCGCTGCGGCCGAGGGCAACGTGAATCCCAAGGCGGGCCTGGGCATGACCGGCATTGCCGGCACAGCCGACAAGGAACCCACCGAAGGAGGTGCGTGCTCTCCCTCTCTGCACCACCCCGCTGGTTGCCGTGCGGCCAGCGTTGCAACAAGACACGCGTGGGATGGCACCATTCCTACAGTCTGCTGCAGGTTAAGAAAAGCAGGACCCACTCGCACAAAGTCTGCTACGTGCCCTGATTGGCTGTTTCCTCCTGTCCCCCCATCCCCTCCCCCCTCCCCTCTAGCATTCTTTTCGCTAAAATGGAAACAGTGGACGGCTTTGCGGGAGGACTTTGTCCCACTTTCCTTTACCCGCAATAGATTGCAGGTGATGTATTTAGCTATGAGGGAGACAAAAGTATGCTTGCGACCTGACAGGATGTGGCTAGACATGTCGCGCTAACAGTAAGCCGAGCGTACGTATCTGGTTGTTGCACGTGGCTACTCAAATAATATATTTCGATCAATTAGAGGGACAGACTAGTAGGTGGCATTCAGTTACTTGGTCGTGGACTGGGGGAGATTTTTTTAGGGTCGTCAAGGGTTAGAGGTTTTTTTTTGGTGCATTGATTTGTTGGATACTGGAGGTCTTTCGGCAAAGCGGTGCTTACATCTGTTGAGGCACGGCCAGTGTGCAGTTCTACGGTTTCCTCGAAATTGCTGAGTTCAAGTCCACTTGTTTGTTTTCGTAGCTTTTTAGTTTTGTACGAACATTCGAATTCTCTAATTTTGTGCCGTTGATCTTTTCTTGACAGCAACGGCAGCAGCAGTAGCAACGACGGGAGAGGAGTCTGAAAAGGCGGAAGAAGGCAAGGAGGGCACAGAGCCTTCTCTCTCGGCGGAGGTCAAGGTGGAGAAGCCGAGCAGTTCTGAGGTGAGTCGAGTCTCCAAGATGCTCGCCGAATTGCCGACAATCTCAGCAAGTCTACCATAAGCCGTATGCAAGCTGCAAGGCAGTTCTGGTGACTGGAGCTATCGCACAACTATGCGGCTGCCGTTTACAGTCACGAACCCAGACTTTCTTATGAACTACTCGTACTTCGGGGGAGGCTTGAAGTGGGGGGAGGGAGTTTTTATAGGGCACTGAGCTTGAAGGAAGTCATTATGGGAAAAGAAATAGCCTTCGACCACCATCATTGTGGTTAAAGCTGTCATTTGGGGCAAGTGTTGTACATGGTTTGCTGTGCTGCGGTTGATTCAAAAGCAAGGAAAAAATAGGGATAACTTGTGCAATTGACGAAATAAGCATTTATGTTACTACCAAATGTCATAATGGATGCTTTGCATCCATCAGTGCTGATCGACATTGATAGACACAAAGTTACAAAGTGAAGTGTCTCTGATAGGTAGCTTGTCCACTACCCTCATGGCTCGACTTTTATGTTAAATAACTCACGAATATACCATTAGAGGGAGAGGAAAATGGTTAAATTTCGGAATGTAAACATATTTAAAATGGCAGTGCATTTCATGGAACCCCCTTCATTTCTTGGGAAAGATGCCAGGTTGAAAATTTGGTCAGCCAAATGCTTAGATATGTTTCACTGCATCTGTAGTGTGAATACATTTGCCGCTACCCTCATTTAATGGAGAAGTTACCCAAGTTGAAAATATATATAATAACCAAATTATTAAATATCTTTCATTGCATTCATACCATATACTGCCTCATATACACCTTTTCCACAGGGGCGCAGCCACCTTGAATGTCGTCACTTCTAGTATGCGTTAAAGCATTGTTTTGATGTCCTTGCTGCTGGAAGGTGTTCACAAAAAATACATGATTGTAACATATTTTGCTTTACCTATATTTTCTTGCTTATTCCAGGCTGAAATGTCTTAATATTTTTTCGTCCTGCATACCAGATATGGAAACCATGTGACTGAAAACAAAAGGAAACTAAAAACGTCTATTGTTCGACTTCGAATATAAGCCTAAGCCCCCCCCCCCCCAAAAATTCTGACCAATAAACTTTTCTTTTTTGTAATTTCTTTTAAATATTTTAATTTGAGATACTTATTTCTGAAAAGATTGACTTATCTGCAGCAATATACGGTACGGGAAAGCAATCTTGGTGGACAGTGTGCAGTTTTGCAGCTCTTTATAAATTTTAACGTGATAAGACACTTGCTTTTGTTTTCTAGTTTTGCACGTGCTCTTAAGGGGCCCTGCAACCACTTTTTGACTGGCTTTTAATTTGCACCGAACCTGAGCGCACTGAACGTAGTAACTTAAAGAAGTTCAGTAGTGTTGACGATTGGGCTAGTTGGTCATTCATATTAGCGGAAAACAAACAGCGCAAGGACAAGGACAGAGTAGAAGGCGGTAGACAGACACAGCGCTGACTTACAACTGAGCTTTATTGGCACTGACAACCTGTATAAATACACAATTTGCCTGGCCCAAAAGCCAAGAAAAGAAACACAAGAGGAGGACTACACGTGTTCCTAGAGTCATCTGCAGGCGCCGTTGCTCTCCGATCTGAGTAGAAAAATACACTCCTTTTCCGTCAAGTCGAGTGACGGGGCACTAACACACTCAGAGCCCGATTGTCCAATCTTTTTGTTTTTATCAGAAAACAAAAAGATAAACTGACACGTGAGATTATAGAAGCCCGTGCCATTGGACAATCGGGCTCTGAGTGTGTTAGTGCCCCGTCACTTGCCTTGACGGAAAAGGAGTGTATTTTTCTACTCAGATCGGAGAGCAACGGCGCCTGCAGATGACTCTAGGAACACGTGTAGTCCTCCTCTTGTGTTTCTTTTCTTGGCTTTTGGGCCGGGCAAATTGTGTATTTATACAGGTTGTCAGTGCCAATAAAGCTCAGTTGTAAGTCAGCGCTGTGTCTGTCTACCGCCTTCTACTCTGTCCTTGTCCTTGCGCTGTTTGTTTTCCGCTAACTTAAAGAAACTTTTCTTTTCTCAAATTTCGTTTTATATTAAAAGTTATAATCAACTTAGAATTACAAAAACAAGCAAAAAATAACCTCCTTCATGACGTCGTAGGTCCTGGCTTGAGTGGCCGTGAACTAGAGGAGGAGTAGTGAGCTTATCGAGTGCTCACAACTGCCGCACGCCGTGTCGACAGCTCGAGAGGGTGCCACTAGAGCACGTGGTGGATAGGCTGTATGAAACGAGCGGCCAGGGCGGCTTGCATTGCATTCGCTGCGCGATCAAAGACTAATTCGGCATAACGCTTCATTGGCCAGAAACGACAGCAAACACGGGGTAAATATCAGTTCAGAACGGGAACCACTTCGCGCTGCCATACCGCCAAATGGCCAAATTGCCACCCAAGCCCACACCGAAAGCCTTCGGAACGCTCGGAACCGGTCGGATCCTTGAGCCGGTATACGACCGCAGCGCCGCCACATACATCCGGGACCTTTCTACGATCGACGTTTGTCGGAGCCTCATCCCACTAGCCTTTTCTAGTATGCGCCGTTTTTTTGGACGCTTGGTGGCGGGTTTGTCGACGGGTCATTTCTTGTTTCCATACTTTATAAACTGCATTTGTTTCTTTTCTGATCTAAAATACGGAACAAAAACTACTCTCATACATAATTGAAACGGTTTGCAACACTTATATTTTGCATCTCGACTAAAAAAAAGCTTTTAGCGGCTCTGACCAGTATTAAGCATCAGGACCAAAGATGTCACATATTGCGCGCTTTTGGCAACGCGGGTCGCCCTCGTAGGTGGAGGAGGTTTCCACGTCGTCCGGTTAAAATATGGCGCACTGATATTTAGTGACTCTCCATGCCCGCTGGCTTGCCCCAACCCCAAGAGACGTGGAAACCGCAAAAAAAGGTAGACGCTTAAATATGATTGCAGGGCCCTTTAAGGCGTCAGTCGTGCTGACAACGAGGCATGCGGTGAATGCCACTGTGCCTCAATGTCCTCAAGGTCACTCCGAAAGGCGTGCAAAGCCTCCACTCACGTGACCAGGACCAACCAATTAGACACTTGCCTTCCTCATGAAGGGCGTGTTGTTCGCCACACTTGTCTAATTCCCCCCCAAGCTCTTCAAGAGTGAAGTCTCCGCCAGACGTTTTAAGCGAGGTCTGCTTTCTAAGAAAAGGGTCCCTCCTTTACCTTGGCGGGGGCGCAGGAGAACTCTGCGGCGTCCGTCGAGGGAGTGGCCTCGGGCGGAGAGGCAGCTGCGGAGGAGAAGGGCAAGGCGGCCCCAGAGGAAGCCCCCAAGGAGGGCGACCCCGAGGCCATGGACACGGAGGAGCCCAGGGCCCCCGAAACCGAGAGGGACCGCCTGGTGAAGGACGCGCAGCTGTCCACTGCGGCCGCCGCCGCCCTGGGTGCGGCAGCCGTCAAGGCCAAGGTGGGGAGCTGCCGCCCTCTTGAGCAGGGATTCCCAAGCTTTCCCATCTCTCGACCCCTTCTGGTCTTGGCATTAATGTGATAAAGTGGCGCAAAGGCTCGTGGACCCTGTAAACAATAATGCATACACTAGCGAGTTTGCACATTGTTACGCAATGCTGGATGGCTCAGGTTTTATAAAATAGTGCTTAAACTGGAAAAACATTTTTCACTAGGGCAGGGGCAGGGATGGCTGAAGAAATTTGTGAGCTTGGGGTAGCCCTAAAGGTACCCCGGGGGGGTACCGTGATTCCCAACCTTCCCTGCCCCTAGCCTGCCCCTAAGTAAAGTGTCCTGCCAGCTTAAACACCATATTAAATAATCTAAGACAACTATCAATACGTAACCATGAGCCAAACACTCCCTGTTATAATTGTTTTGCAGGCTCTGTAGGCTCCTGAACCACTTTAATGTATCAATGCCATGATTGGGAGGTTTTTTGTTTTTTTTGTGGCTAATCATTGAGGGAGATGGGTCTTCATTTTGCTCATTTTCTCTCCCGCGTCCCTGCTTCCTAGAAGTTTAAACGGCATGGCTACCTTCTGAGTGCCTGCGGAGTCAACAAGTCCTAGATAGCAAGGCCGTAGCTGTCGATTTTCTGCGTTGCCTGCGGGGGCCAACACTGGGAACGGTTTAGACACGAGTGCTGCATCGGCGTTTGTCCGGGACTTGCATTCTCACCGATCAAACGCTTGTCCCACCCAAACGCTGACACAAAACTCGGCTCCCGGCTGTTCTTAGCACTACGACCTTATTACGGTGGAGACATTGGTGGAGCCGTAGACACCTCCTGGTTTTCTTCTTTTCCTCCTTCTCTCCACATTCGCAGTTTGGTGATGGAAAAAAATAGAGGATTGTCTGTCTTGCAGGAGGTTTTTGTTATATGTGGGTCTGTTTTGACGAGCACATGAGTGTGTAGCGGAAGATTGTTCTGTGGTCCTGGGGTGACTTGGTCGGGTAACAACTGGAGAGTCCCGCCAGATTGTTAGCTCTTAATTCCAACGGGCTCGTTGGCTTTGGAGTAGAGTTCTTACCTATAGTCTGAGAAAGGCTTACTGTGGTGTATTGTATCTCTGATGTAATTGTGATTTTGGTGTAACATCAAAGGGTCTTTGGGGTCTATGTTACTCCTCAGTTCTTCACTGAGATTCCAGATGTTTATTGTTGGTTCGGTGGTGAACACGCCAAATTTCACTTCATCCTTAGGATTGCCTCAAATCCCCACTTCATGTATGGGGTGATTTTTTTACGAACTCAGATTTGTAATCTTGCCACTAACACACCTGCAGGTATAACAGCAGCAGCAATTGTTTGTCAGTATTTTCACTTTTTTTTCTGTTGGAAAATTGTGTTCAAAAGGAACTCAAATTTGTGTCTGGTGTCCCATTGAAGGACATTCTAACATATTTTGGAATGCTAAAGCTAAAATGCAATTAGTGGAAAGGAGGAAGCAGGTTGATCTGCAAATTGTTGGAAGGTTGGTGAAGAGACGAAGAACGGATGTGAAACTAGGGAAGGTGGTCACAGGGCCTGCAAGTTTGAATTTGTTGTGGAAATTTTCGTGGCATGGTGATGGTTGACTGACTGCCTTACTGTGCTTGTTGAGCATTGCTCTTCTTGCACTGGCTGAGCAAGCGCACCTGTTATGATTGCAGCACCTGGCAGCGGTGGAAGAGCGCAAGATCAAGTCACTGGTGGCTTTGCTGGTGGAGACCCAGATGAAGAAGCTGGAGATCAAACTGCGCCACTTTGAGGAGCTCGAGGCCATCATGGACAGGGAGAGGGAGACGGTGGGTCCCTCGTTGTTTGCTGGGATGCTTGGCTCTGCTCTTCTCGTACCTTTTGTTTGTATTTGCTTTGTTGTCTGGCTCCTTTCGGAACCCGTTGTTTTAGCTACTTTTTGTCATCTGCATTACTAGATCACAAACCATTGTCGTCTGGCAGTGCAGATATTTACTCTTTTACCATTGTCGATTACAATGGAAAACATGTGAATGAAAACAGCTAAATGCATGTAAACTAACTTTAAAACTCTGAAACAGAGAACTCATGCAGATAGCGTTTTTCTCCGAGATCTGCATGTGCGATATCGGCTGACGTCACACGTGAGTTGTTCCTCAAGTATATTGCATCGTGAAATGCAAATCTGCTGCGTCCGCGATCTGCAGTATTTGTTCCCATGACATGAAAGTTTTTAGCGGATTCTCGCGTTTTTGTTTGCGATCTACAGGCACGATACCGGTTTCCACGACAGGCAAGATTGTAGCGAATCCCCGCATGTTTATTGCACCATAAAACTTGAATCTGCTGCGTCTGCGATCTGCAGTATCCGTTCCATTGAGTTGCGAATCTGCTGCATCTGCAACCTTCAGTATTATTTCTCATGACATAGGAATTCATAGCGAATTCCCGTGTGTTTATCGCATCGTGAAACGCAAACTTGTTGTGTCTGCGATCTGAAGTATCAGTTCCCGCGTCATGCGGTTTGTAGCGGGAATCCCGGTTTGCAATGGCATTTGCATTTGGTTAAATTCATGGACCTCCTTCGGTTTTTATGTAATTTTTTTTGCACCCACTCCTCTCAAGTTTACCACTCTACCGCTAGTTCCTGTAACGTGTCTTCGACCAGCGTGTTTGCCATTCTATAAGCTTCTTGCACCTGACGTCACTTCCGGCCAGCCTCGAAATCGAAGCCAACATTGTCGTCTCTGCCATCAGTGCCTTTGCGCCACATTGCAGGCATTCGGTGTTTTATTGCAGCGGCAGTAGCGCCGTAGAGCTCTGGTATTTGCCTCGCTTGCATTTGATGATAAAACAGATTGGTGGCGAGCAGCTGATGGAATGCAGGTCAGAATAAGCGTGACTTGTGTTTTACATCCTCGCACGGCACTTTAATGTGCATGTAAAGCACTGTCGCTCGGCACTTGAACGTGCACGTAAAGCACCGTCGCTTGGCACTTGAATGTATGCAAGCGTGCTGTCGGACGGCAAAAGATGCGTCGTCCACTAATTATTCGCGGCGACCGATGAGAAAATTAGTTAATTCACCTATACGTGAAATCATTGGGGGGATATTCCGCAGAACTTGTCAGCACTGTAGCCTGTCCTCCAACTTTTGACTAGCTACACAGATGAAGAATGGAGCTGCCGCGCAAGTAATTTCGTTTACTTTACTCGTCTCAGTCAATTGCAAGGAGGTTCCTCACCCGACACGAAGCGCAGTCCGCAAACCCTTTGTTGGTACGAAGCTCTTCCGTTGAGATGGTGCTGGCGTCGGAGCCCTTTGCGACACCGGCGAACCGATTGCTCAAGCGTCGCCTCATCCCGGCTTCTAATGATTGCCAGAATCCTAGAAAAGTAAAGCAGTACTGCGGGTCGTAGCTCCGTTTTGTCGCCGACTTTTACGGCTGGAGCAATTAATTATGGCGCAATTGACCGTTTTAACCCTCAAGCGAGCGGACAAATTACGACGTGAACACGGCCCCAAAATGCAAAAGGCGTAGCGTAACGGCGACGTATGCCTCCAACACCGATTCCGGTGATGTTTCCGAACCGGAAGTAGCGTCGCATTGCGGTCTTGTGCAAGAACCCTATCCGGCCCACGCATTCGAACTGGTTCCAAAGGGGCAACATATTGCGTCGCAGAAGCCGGTGCGTCGTGTCGTTGAGCGTCGCGATCCTGACAATTGGGCGTAGAGTCATTGGCGAAAAAAAATCGTGAGTCATTCCACTCTATGAAGGTGAAGGACCAGTGAAGCTCTTTTTAGGACTTGACACAGACCCGCCCAAGGAGCCAAAGGAAACTAGACACGTGCGACGGGACCACCACCCTGGGAGTGCGAAAGGACAGGAAACTAGGCACGCAAGCGTTTGGAACGAAAACAAAGAGAGGGCGGTGCGAGCGTATACATAGCCGACGCGGGTGCACAGCGGCAAATCTTTAAGAAACCTTTTTTATCTACTGAGAGTCACCGATCTTGAAAATGGTGCCTATTGATAACTTCTGTATTTACTCGCAAAAAAAACACACTTTTTTCTCTCGAAAAATTGACACAAATTTGGGTTCATTACGCCGGTTAAAATTTTTCCATTCCCACACTTTGTGCAAATGTCATATTAGGGGCCAATATGACACGGCACGGTACTGTGGCACGTCTCCACTGATGGAGGCACACCCCTCCCTGATCGGGGGCGCACAACAGTAACTATGCTTTATAAATTGCTAACCTTTTTAGGGCATTTCTGGCGTGCCTTTTGCCGAAGGAAAAGCGCCCTACGAAGTTCACCCAGGACGGAGAGCGACGTGACCGTTCTTGGGCCTTACCACTTTCACGACTTCACTGTGCGAAAGTGGACCACAGGCGACGGCGTGTTTGTTCACATCAGTGCATCCGATGGACGAAGAACGTTCGCAGCTGGGCAGTTCCTCGACCCAAGCTTCTTTAAGTGTGCGTGCCACTCGGTTTCATAGTTGATCACTTCCGCAACTACACACTTGCAAGCATTACAAGAGTGGCTTGGCTTGATTTTGCCTGACCGCTTGGCAGCAAACGAAAATCGGTCTGATGATTTGGACGGAGTTGGAGACTCGAGGAGTTAAGGATTCGAGGTGTGTTTAGTACGGGAGGGGGGGAAAAAAAGTCAAAATATTGGTGTCCGTTGTGGGGTGTGCGTTCATTGTGCGAGTGTGTTCATTATGTGAGTAAATACGGTAATCTACTGATTAGACCTATTTTTAAATTACCCAAGCATCAAGGAGAATGCAGAAATGGTGTTTCATGCGCTGCACGTGCCGGCGTCTGCAGCAGTAACTGTTCTAAAGTAAAAGCCTAAAACAAATGGCATCTTGCACGTGCATTCAACAACGCTTTACCGTATTTACTCGATTGTAACGCGACTGCGATTGTAACGCGAGGGGTTACTTTTCACTGCTTCTAGCAAGAAAAAATAAATCTCGAATGTAACGCGAGGGGCGACTTGTAATGCGTCCGGCAAAAAAAGAAAAAGGCCAAATAAAAACTACTGAAGTAGCGTGACACTGGCACATGCATGAGAAATTGCATTTATTTTTCAAATGTTGGCTAGAAGCAATCACCTGCCTCAAGACGTTGTGTCCTTGCTAGTCGTCGTCGGACGAGTTCTCGGAATCCGAGTCTTTCTTCGCACTCTCATCCTCCCAAAGAATGTCGTCTTCCGTGCCATCGAGGGCATTTGAAAGCGAACACTTTTTGAAGGCACGATTTACCATGCTGTGTAGGGGGTTGTACCAAGTGGCAGACACCCACTCGGCAATGACCGAAGCGCTCGGTCGTTTGATTCTTCCTGAGGGTGTCAGGGTTTGATCTTCCCGGATCCAATCGTTGTACAGCTTGCGGATTCTGTCCTTAAACGGTTTGTTTAGGCACACATCGAGCGGTTGCAGAATCGAGGTCATTCTGCCGGGAATGACAGCAAGGTGTGTTTCAGTCTCTGCCAACTTCTTCTTGACCTCGGAGGTGAGGTGTCCGCGGAACGAATCCAGCACGAGGATTGAAGACGGGTGTAGAAGAGCACCTGGTCGGCCGGCACCACACTGTGTTAATCCAGTCAAGAACTAAGGAAGCTTCCATCCATTCCTTCTTCTGGCAACACACAATGACGTTCCTCGGGAACCTTTCTTTTGGAATAGTCTTCCGGCGAAAAATGATGTAAGAGGGCAGCTTGCGGCCATCTGCCAAGCATGCCAGCATTACTGTTATTCTGTTCTTTCATTCCCAGTTGTCCTAATGCATACTTCTGGGGCACCAACGCTGTTCACAGTTCTTGACACAGGCATATCAAGATACACAGGAGTCTGATCTGCGTTGCCAATATGCCCCAGTGGCATGTTTGAAGAACGGCGCAAATTCATCACAAAGCACTGAAATTCCAGTAGTTTTCCTTCAAAGTCCTGGGCAACTTTTGCCGGATGGAGGTGGTCCGGCGGAGGGAAAACCCATTCCTCCGCATAAACCTCTGCGTCCATCCACGTGACGCTTTGAACTCCGTTCGCGGGATGCCCATCTGCCTAGCAGCATCACTCGCTTTGAACTGTATCAGTTGAACGCTGATGGCCATGGGGCGGTTGCGCTGTTCTATGACGTAATCAGCAACACGCCGCTCCAATTCCAAGTAACGGCCGTGGCGAGGCCCACGGAAACCTTTTCGGCCCGGCGCGCACATGAAAAGGCGCTCCCGCTGGAGCCGCCATCCACGAATGGTCGACTCGTTTACGTCGAGGTTTCGGGCAGCGGCTGAATTGCCAATGTCTTAGGCCAATAAAATGGCACGCCTCTTGAAGTGGGTCGTACTGTGCCCAACACGCTGCCATTGTAAGGGCAGCCGAAGGGAGATGAAACACAAGGCAGCCAAAGTCGCCGATGCCACCACACACGACGAACGCAACGTGCACTCCATCAGAGAAAAAAAAGGCGGAAACAAAGAGAGAGTTATTGGCTTGCAGTGGATCCAAATGACTTTTGGCAGGCACATGTTGCCAACATAGGTCCCGGGGCGCCCAAATCTGGCGCCTTCAATTAGGTCTGGGCGTATCGTTGCAATTCTTAGATAACTTTAATTTCGGTATTCGATTGTAGCGCGAGGGTTGACTTTAGGCAGCCATAATCTGGAAAGAAAACTCGCATTACAATCGAGTAAATACGGTATTTAGGTTATTTACTTTGAATCTTATATGGGGAAGGCATGCGCATGCGGCGGTGCGAGCGTAGAGTTTTTAGTCACTGCACATGAAAAATCCACAGAAGCCTAGCCATAAACAGCTTCGCTGTAAAAGGTGAGCGGATGTGAAGGTCGCCGTCGTCGGGGCGTCCCATCTCGCGTCTGCTTTGTTTCTTGTCGACTGTTCGGCCGCAGAGCGACCTTCGGCGGAACGGGCGTCTGCCACACATACCATCGCTGTGCCAGGGTCGCGACGGGCAACGGCGTGTCACTTCCACGACGTCGTCGGGTGGAAATCGAGGGTCCCCTTTTGAGGGGGCAGTGAATGCGCCGGTCAGAGATGCGCTCTAGGCACTGCACTCTAAGCAAACGGACTTGCGACTAATCGAGGTGCCCCTTGCCCCATTTTGACGGCAGCTGGAGTACCAGCGCCAGCAGCTGATCCAAGAGCGGCAGCAGTTCCACCTGGAGCAGCTGAGGGCGGCCGAGTTCCGCGCCCGGCAGCAGGCGCACGCCATGATGATGGCCCAGCAGGGGGCGGCAGCCGCTGCGGCCGCCGCCGCCGCACCGCCCGGCTCAGGGGGCCTGCCGCCCCAAGGGGGCGCCGGCGGTGGAGGAGGCCCCAACCCCGAGGACCCAGGTCAGCACCCCCGCGGCCCCTCCTCCCAGCAGCCGCCCTCGCACCGCACGCCGTACAGCTACGGGCCCTCGTACGGGGCCGCAATCCCCTCTGGCATGGGGCCTCAGGGCAGGCCCGTGGGGCAGTTCCCTGGCCCCGGGGAAGGGTTCAGGGTCCCCCATGGGGGCGGGGGCAACCCCGGGGCTTCCCCAGGCATGCCTCTCTCTTCGTCCTCTGTCGGATCGCCGGGCATGCACCCCTCGGGTGAGTTTTTTTGTAGTCTGCTTTTTCTTTTTAAAAGGATGGGAGTGGGTGCGAAAGTTTTTGATGTCGGAGGTGTAATAGGACCCCTTTCAAAAGTTGGAGCCGTCTAGCGGCTGTCACGGAAGCCCCACTGTTTCCGCACGAATGGCAGTGATAGGAAACGATAGGTGAACTCGAAGCACCCTCAACTTTGCGAATCGAAGGCGACGTACGAGGACGATGTCTTAGGAACAATTTCCGGCTTTCTGCTCCATGCTCTTCAGGGTGTTTACTTTTTCCGTTGTAGAGAATCCGAGTAGTGTTGCCATCAGGGCGTCGGGTTCGGCTCTGAATGAAGTGGGTAGACTGACTTTTGGAAAGCGTCTATTTGCAGTTGTTTGTTTATATGGTGAGGAGGAGGGATATATGGAGTGTTATACTAAGGCTCACTGTAAAATTGGCTAAAAAATTTGGCTCGAAAAGTCGGCAAAAGGTGTCATGTAGCCATCTAAAGTTTTCATTAAAGGCTTATTTTACTGGTGGATTCTAGCTCGTGAAATTTCGAGGTGTAGCTCCATTCTTGCAAAGAAATGAGGCCAGCACCCTTGGCATGGTTATTGGCGTTATTTGCTCGCTGCGTCTATCGGGAGATAGCTCTGCAAACAGAACCCTCGATTAAACTCTGTCATCCTCTTTGGTTTCTGTCATTGACCGTGTCGAGGGTGTCGGTCTAACTTTTTCTCTGGAATGGAGCTACACCATGAAATTCCACGAGGTAAAACTCGCCAGCTAAATACACCTCGGATGAGAATTTGAGACCACAACATGAAGGCTCCAAATTTTCCGGACGATTTTGGAGCGATTGCCAGGTAACATCCTACATGTATGTGGCTCTGGGACATACTTGTAATACACCATTTGCAATATTCCCAAGCACCCCAGCCCGCCTTGAGAGATCATGGGAACGGTGTTCCTTCAGCTCCCTAGTGATCGCTACTTTTGACTAATTCCATGGTTACACACTTTTAGAGCGTCATTCAGAGTCACCATGAACAAGCGCCTGATATACCCCAAGGACCTGTCATAACACTTTTGAAATTTCTCATCAATGTCAGCATTTTTTATACTGTGCATGCGATCCACCTTTCAACATGGATGAGCTGCAGGAATCTCTTACAATATTACCATTCTTGTGATTGTTGTTTTAGCAGGAATTGCTTAAAAAGCCGAGAATTCACAACAACAAAAACCAGGATTTGGTCTGGAGTCTGCGGGGCTGTTTATAGTATTTTAGTGTTTCTAATTTAATATCAGCGTCTTTGAAGCTGTACGAAAACGATAATAATGTAAGAGATTTCTGCAGCCCCTCCAGTTTGAAGGGTGGACAGCATGCACAGTATCAAGGACGCTGACATTGAGGAGAAATTTTAAAGTTGATATGAAAGGTCATTGGGGTATATCAGGAGCTTGTTCAGGGTGACTCCGAATTACGCTCAAAAGCTTATAACCGAGGGTAAGGTTGAAAGTACCGATCATTAAGGAGCTCAAGGACCACCGTTCCCATGATACTTTTAGCGTGGGCCGGTGCGCTTGGGGGATATAGCAAATGGTCTATGGCATATTGTTACGATATCACTAACGTTGTTCTTGCATTTAGCCTCAATCTATGAAAAATACCAGAAAAAGTGAGGCTGTCTTTCGAGCAGGTCTGGCGTCTCTTTATTGTGCCACTCGGCAATGGCCAATTAGTGTTGCGGAAACCTGGCTTTTCGTCCAAAATGAGGGGATGTAATACCTCTGTCAGACGGGCACCTAAAAGGACTTTTACGCCAAAGGCCTTTAGGATTTTCAAATGACCTTTACGTTCCGCCATGGTAGACAGCGCAAGTAAATGTCATTTAGATGATGTTTACAGTGATTGAAGTCTCGTAGCCCGATTCAAATGCATAAATCATGTTCACGCCAGAAAGTAATATTCTTGCGATATAAATAATTTTTTAAGTTTTTCTGAAGCAAACAATATATTAAAAAAGGCAAAATGACGAGTTTAGTCGAGTGATTACAACAAAGTCCACCTCAAGCCCAAGCAAAGTGGTTTTTTGGCGATTAGCAGCAACCCTGGGCATCTCCCGCTTCAGTCCTAACGTTGCTCTGTGCTCCTTGTCCTTTCCGTGCTTCTGCTACGGTTTTACCCTGTTCGGTTCGGTGTCTTGTTGGCGCTTGAGGTTCATCGCACATGTCGGAGGTCCTCCAGACGACCCTCCTGAAGTCATATCAGCGCCCAGGTCGCCTCAACGCTCTGAAGGAAGAGCGCGGTGACCCCTTCCTATTCGTAGACGCTCCTCCGTCGTTCGACGTATCGCACGACGCAAGAGTGAGATACAGAAAAAAAGTGAAAGCCGTTTACAACTCCCTGTAACACCGAATTAGAGCGCAGCTCTTGAGGAGGAGGAGGGAAGGGTACTGGGGGGTGAAGTGACCTGGGGGGGGTCACGTGACCTTGGGGAGTCACGTGACCATGCCGATGATGTCATCAGTGACGTCACTGATGACGTCATCAGTGATGATGACGATGCGGACTCCGATGACGTCATCAGCGATGATGACGATGCGGATGTCGGTGACGTCATCAGTGACGTCACTGATGACGTCATCTGTGATGATGACGATGCGGATGCCCCCCCCCCCCCCCGAAGTCACGTGACACCCCCAGGTCACGTGACCCCCGCCGAGGTCACGTGACCTCCCCGATGACGTCATCGTCACTGATGACGTCACCGGCATCCGCATCGTCATCGTCATCACTGATGACGTCATCAGTGACGTCACCGGCATCCGCATCGTCATCGTCATCATCACTGATGACGTCATCAGTGACGTCACTGATGACGTCATCAGTGATGATGACGATGACGATGCGGATGCCGGTGACGTCATCGATGACGTCATCGGGAGGTCACGTGACCTCGGCGGGGGTCACGGGACCCTGGGGGTGGTCACGTGACCTGGGGGTGTCACGTGACTTCGGGGGGGGGGGGGGGGGGGTCACGTGACTTCAGGGGGGTCACGTGACCTTGTGATGACCTTGGGGGCCACGTGACCTTGGGATGACCTTGGTTACGCCGACGGCGACGCCGACGCCGCTCAAGCCGGGAGCGGGCCCCTAAGAGCTGCGCTCTAATATATATCTACAAAAAAGCATTAAATATATACAGTATGGATAGTAATATAAGTAGAGAAATAAAAGCTAGGTAACTATGGTTGTAAGGAAAATCGAGAGGAAGAAAACCGAAGTAATAAAGTGGACGACGCGAGCAGGCGATGACAAGGCCTACTAGATAACTGGGGCTGTGAGTACAGAAAACGATTAGTAGAGCAAGGTTTGAACAAGATATATGTGAAACACGCTCTTTTTCAATAAAAATGCAAACGCATTGATTTTAGATATTGGTACAATCTTTTATTTCAATTTGCTTCTCTAGTGTAGACCGCTGCTGACGAGAGTAGGCCTTTAGCAGCCGTAAAGGAATTGTGGGAACTCAGGTTCACGAAAAGGACCTTTATGCTAAATGCCATTTGAGTTGCCATGTGGCACTGCTTAAAAAACATTTACACTAGAGGTCCTTTGGCGTAAAGGTCCGTTTACGTGCCCGTCCGACAGGGGTATTACAATCTTCAAAGAGGTACTGCACCTTAGGGCAAAGCTGGGTATTAGAGGGATTTCAGAAGAAAAGTTAGTGCATTGCATGGCACCAAGAGCTTTAGAAAATAACTGGGAAGGAACTGGAACTGTTTAAGTTATGAAATAGAAGATTGCAAAGCCATGAACTGCAGGCAGTGGGAGGTGGCCTACTGTAATTTTGGGGTGTGCGAATGGAGCTTGTCTTTCTGTTTTTTTAAATGTTAGAGGTGACACAATCACTTCCTGTCGGCTAGTTACCTACTAACTGTTACTCATAACTCTTTGGAGTGATGGCATTGTGGTTTGCTTAGAACTTTTTGTTTGTTAGTTTGAGTTTTCAGTAATTGGAATTCATATTTTGCAGCTTTCTGCCTTAAACATGATACTACTAAGAACATTTTATCACTGATCATAGATTTCCGTATCAGAGACATGCATGCCAAGCCTGAAGTGAGATTGTAGTGCTAAGGTGTTTGATAAAAATTGCTTGGTGCTCACTGCTTCGAATTCTTACTAACAAGCGTCTTGCTCAGCCGAGCTACTAACTGCATAATGCTGATGTGCTTTGTTAGGGCCAGTGATCTTGGTTTACTTTATGAAGTTGAATATTTAAAAATTTGTTTTGAAGCATGCCTAAGAAATCAAGTGTACTACATTTTCAATTAAAAAAAATAATGCAAAAGCAAATAAGGACAAAAGATGTTAAGCATGTAATATTGTTTAAGTTGCTCTACACATCTAAGTTTGGGACATTTGATTAGCAGTCAGTTGAAGTGGTCTCAATTGTTTTCGTTTTCTGGCAGGCGCCTATCGGCAACATTCTTTTGGGATGGGACACCCATACTAAACGATGCTGTAAGAACGGATCTATGCACCGTGGAGCCTTTCGTTTGGTTCACAAATGGACAATCTGGCCACCAGAAAGATTCAGCATTCTGCTTTGTGCCCAAGAACTGCTCTAGTCTCGTTTCATCAAATTAACAGTGAAGAGAAGCCACCACAAAAGAAGTGACCCCTTTCAATTGTGTGCATTTCGTGTTCTACTCGGTGTTGCGTACAACCTACGAGTTCTTCCAGAACCCTAATTCACTTTATTGTTTTCCAGTGTGCTTGTTTGGACATGAGAAACAGGACTGTTCCTTTTTCTTTTTTTTTTCGTGTGCCTTGAAATTTTTTTTTAGTCGCTTCAATGATGCACAAAACTATGCTCGGCTCGTCTGAGGTTTTGAAGTAATTGAACCGAGGTCTGCCAAATAGCCACATTTTTGGACAAGATTTGCCAAGTTTGCATAATGATGGTTGAGTAGTCATACTGGCACTGTGCATTGTACAAAGACACCCCCATTTAGCTTGTTCATGTCATGCTCTCCAGCTGTGGCACGAACTCTCAGTGGGTGTCCTGTGTTAACATCCACCGAGAGTATACAAATAACTTGTTTGTAAACTTGCCCTCGTAGATCTGAAAAAGTGTAATCTGAGATTTATCGTTCGCTGTTCTAGGTGCCTAGGTTTAGCCACTCTTCAATTTGCATGGAATTGAACTTTCGCTGAGTGCATCTATGAAAAGATATGAAAAGAAAAAAGATATATTTTCTTTTTTCGTTTTTTTAGGTTTAGCCACTCTTCAATTTGCATGGAATTGAACTTTCGCTGAGTGCATCTATGAAAAGATATGAAAAGAAAAAAAATATATTTCCTTTTTTTTTTTTTTTTTTTTTTAAAGACTGTTTGAAAAATTTAGCTAGTTATAATGTATTGTTTGAGGGAAGATTGGCGGCTGAAGCTCTTTACATTCGTTTTGTAAATGTTGTATAGCCCTCATAATGTAATGCAAGCTGCATGCTACAGCATAAGAATGCTCATCATATTTCCCCAAAAAAGAAAGCATATTGAATAAAGTTGACTCTATTCTTCTATTTGACAGACTTTCTTGTCAGTGTTTCCTTCTGACTGGAACCATCGCACCTATTAGGACACAGTATTAAATCATTAGCTTGGATTACATTTTGTAGTTTATGTAGCTTTTATATGCATACAGGTAATGTAAAGCTTTTAGCTTCAGCTGATATCATGAAAGCTTTTAGTGTATTTGTTTCCACATTTTTTAGTGTATCCTATGCACCTTTATGGCATGTCACTGTGGGGAGTAAAAACAGCAATTAAAATTTGTCAGTTAAATTATAGATTTTATTTCTTTGGCACAATTTTTTTTAAAGATGCGCAGTACAATTGGTTATGTTTGTAATCCATAGTCATGCCTTGGGACAGTAAACTTGTGTGCTTATAATAAGGGGAAGGACAAAAGGAGTGGCACATTGCAAATGCAGCTCCACCAAGGTCTTAAGTCTTTTTCACTAACAGCTTTGTTCCTTTTTCTCTTTGCACTGCTGACCCACAAGATTGAGGTGGTAGTAAGACACGGATGCCCTTTCACTTACCACTTTTTGCTTGGCTGCATTGTGTTGAGCTGCATGACTGCTGGTGCTGCATGCTTCAGAAAGCCTGCCTCGCTTCTCTAGTTTGGAAGGATTGCATGGCTTTTGCTGCAGGCGGACCCGGAGCACAGTACGTCCCGTTCTACCGCTGTTGCTCCTAAGGAATGTGTCTGAACGGGGAAACTAAGCTGTACGCAGTTGACTTTTTATGTCGCGTGCAAGCAACCTCAAGTCAAGGATTGGGAGGAAGAGTGTTCGTTTTGAAAGTAAATGTGAGCTTTGTTTCTTTAGCAACTCGTCTGGAATGTTAGGACCATTCTTAGTGACAATATTTGGCACGCTGAATTGAGTTTCTAGCGGGTAAAATGCGCGGAAAACATAAAATCCTGTGGTCACCGACAAAGTGGGAGCGGCGGGACGTCTTTTTCGTACGCCCAGCCTCCACCACGCGTTCGTAGCCTTCGGCGTGCTTTGGCAGTGCATGCTTGCTCAAAGCTCACGAGACAACAAAGCGTTGTTGAAGGTAGGGAGTGCAAGCTAGAGGCAGAACAACTGAAACCTCCTTGTCATTCCAACCCTGTCGGTGACCACAGAAAAAAAGTAGGAGAGAGTTGCCATCTTGACCCCACACCCCACCCTTTGTACCCGCATGCCCGTGTGCTGCTTGCTGTTGCATCTGTCAAAGTTAGGTGTCGGAAAGAAGGCGGCCTCTTTGCTGCCTCCTCTGCTGGGCGCGTATGCCGGCTCTCGGTCTTTGTTTTGACAGTTGTCGTCATGTGGTGCTCGTCGTCATAGCCCGTTACATTTTCAACCTGTAAATATGACTGTTGAACATAAAAAAGTTTAATGTTGTAGCGTGGTAAAATGGCTAATTGGCCAGCTTGGCTCCCTACTCTCTCTGAGCTTTGATTCATCTCCACTTGCATAAACTGAGTGATTTTGCCCCTTATGTGCTATGAAATAATTTAATTGGTGGGAATGGGTTTGCCCAAATCTAAAAGAACTAATTGGTTAAGCTTTACTTCTACTTGATGTCATAAATGCCTGGAAACTGCGAAAAATTCTAGTTCAGTTTGTTTGAGCATAACAGCAGTCACAACTTTTTATTAATCTGTAGCAACATTGATGATGTTGCTTAGACTGCATATGAACATTGCCAGCATTGTTGTAATGCCCATGCAACATAAGTCTTTAGTCACTGTGAGTTCTGCAGCGGTGTACTGGAATGTGCATCTCCAGAGAATAGCTTCCTCGTGAAAGAGAGCATTTCGCACCTGGTGTAGTATCTTAATTTTAATGACATTGGCATTGCAAAGTGGTTGGATAGAGAGGATGATGCTTTCTGAGGCTGGTCAGATAGTGGGAGCACCAAGTTAGCAATGTTCACATTCACAAATTGTCCATTGCAGTGAGAGGCATTCGTTTAGGCTGACTCAAGCAATGTTCACATTCACATAATTGTCCATCACAGTGAGAGGCAGTGTTTTAGGTCGACTCAAGAAGTCTCCCGTATCTCAAACTTCTCCGAGGGACCACAATGTTCACGTTCTTCACAGCTTCTTCGAATTTCCATCCTGCATCCCTATTTTCACTGTCAAGGACAGTATGAGCTGCAACAGTCCTTCATTCTTTTTTTCTTCATAACTGTTGGCTTCTAAAATAGTTTTTGCGCAAACCGTCGTATTAAAGCATAGCTTAGGTCCTATTCTTTGAACTCTATGACAGATAGGGAGATAATGGAAGACACGGAAAAAGGTCAGATTGGGTGTTGCAGCTCATATTGTCCACGGGGGTCCTTTCTCCGTGTTTTCAAAACATGGTCTCGTGTACCCTTTCTCTGTCCTGATCTCCGCATACCGTCCCATTTCCTTTCTTTTCCCTTGTGTGTGTGTGTGTGTGTACGTGAATGTGCCCCTGTCCTCCTACCCCCCTCCCCCGACCCCCGGAGCAGCCGGAGCGGCAGCCGCAGCCGTGGTGGCACCCGTGCCCGCCATGAATGGGGGGCCTCCGATGGCCCCTTCCACACCGGCCAGCACAGCCCCAATGGAGCAGCAGCCCCAGCCGCCGCCGCCACCGCCCCCACGTCCCGTGTCCCCCCAATGTGGCGCCCAGCCCAGGTCAAACCTCTTTGTCTGCTTCCAGCCGTGTAGCGTCCAGGGAAACAAGTGGGGTTTAGAGGGAGGCATCCTTTTCGCGACTAAATTCTGCATCATTTCCCGCCTGCATCGTTAATAGTTTCATGTTGGTTATGTGGCAGAATATCTTTCAGAATAATGTGAAGGCTTGCTGTCCTGCAGGCATTTAAACTCAACCGCAGCCACTTCAAAGTCATGCAAGTTAACAGAGTCACACTAGTCATTTGGAAACTATTCCAACCTTGGCCAACTGTTTTTCAGTCTCTCTGACTCCAGCAAAAAATGTCTTACTTTAAATGAAAATGAGGGTTGGCAACACTGTCAATCTCTAAGATTGCTAGGGGAAACACTACCTTGAATTGCACCTTTTTTTTTCCAAAAAATGCATATTCAGAACTGTAGAGTTTTGGCCTGTATGGATAACAAGGAACACCCTCGCAAAGTCTTGTCAATGTGCACTGACAAACAATGTCAAAAATAATTATTCTTTATATGTTGGTGAGGTGCGGTGCACTGCGAAGCACTCGTCATCCACAAGTGAAAATAGCTGAAAGCAATGTCAGTATATCAGAAGAAGTTTGAAGAAGACATCACCTACACTGCTGAAAAAAATTTCTGACATTTACAATGCAAAAAAAAAAAAAAAAATTAAAGCGTCATTTTGAAATTTTTAAGTGCATTTATCTCGGCTTCACTTTTTGGCAGCAAATCCCACCTAATAAAACTATTGTTTCAGTATGAAACTATTGAGAGACTTTATATTTGCAGATTATATGCCGAAATTTTATCGAGCCGGTTAATATGGAACTTGCATTTTGCATTTTCATGTTCCTTTATTTTAAATAATTGTAATTTGCAAAACTTGGGAAATTTACAATATATATATATATATATATTTCATAATTTTTTTTACCTGAAAAATGCATATTTTTTTTAGTTTCTTTTCATAGTAACCGGCAACAAGTATTCCAGTATGCATTCCACCAAAAAAATATGTGGTGATCAACACCATTTCTCAATGATAGATTCATTGAGCAGATTTCATGCAAAGCTATGCTTTACTTCATTTGGGGGGGGGGGGGGGGGGGGGGGGGTTAGAACCTCATAAAATCGCTTCACAGGGCTGAAAATTTGCATGCCCTCCTTCCATATGGCTACAAACACTACTTGCAAATTTCACGTCGATTGAGTGAGCGGTTCAAGAGTAGACATGCTCAGGTATTGTCCCCCCTTAAGAGCAACCTTAGCACGTTGCGATGTACCATTTCTCTACGACGTCACTCTTAAAGTTGTCGCAAGGTGCATGCCAGCCACAGTCATGTCCACATGTGTCATGTGGTGTCATGACGTCATCTGAGTGATGTCACTTGAAGTTTCACACACACACAGCATGCATATGCCTCATTTGCGACACATACTCTGTGTCTCCGAGTTTATCAGATGTGACTAAAAAGTGCTTACATTGTTATCTTGTAGAAGGTGTCCACAAGAATCGTACAATGCTTCCAAAGCTAGATGACATGGCTCTTAGCCAGCGAACAAGATTGACAAATTTATCATTGGGGAAGAGATGGAATTTTGCAGATATGGTACAGTCAGGGAATGCGAGAGACTGCAGACTGCAGCAATGAATGAGGGAGGTGCTTTTTGCTTCAGATGTTAATTTGAAGGTGTTTCCCTAGACCATCAAGCGGGAAACTTGAAACTATGGAGGTTTGACACAACATGGTGTTTCTGAACAACGCTGCTTGCATTCGTTTTTTATCAAACTAATCGCTCGATATCAAGAATGTCCTAGAGTAGGCACTGGCTGCATTTCTTTAAGTCACTAACATCGAAAATGTGTCACTTTGTGGTCTGTCCAGCTAAGTGGTCGTCATCGTTGGCAGCCAAACTTTGCGTTGCTTCTGTGTAGAGTGGCCCTTTTTGCTTGATACACTTTCTTGCTGCTCTTTCTTATTTCTTCATTGAAATGGGGCTTTGAATTAGTGATAAAGAAGTATCAATTTGTCGAGCAGGCAACTTGAGAGTGAGTTTTGTTAGTGACATGCAACCAAAGCATCTTGCGCTATGATCGAGTACCCGAATCCTCTTCATACTAACTTCAAGCATTGGAGGAAATGCCTCCGATGGATAGTACTTCCTGATTACAGCCTCCAAGGGTCGCACATAGCAAGACTCTGAGCTGTCACTTTCGTAATTCCTTCCCACTACCTAGAGCCACCGAATAGGCTATGCCTGGAATACCGGCACTCCCTTCCCCTATTTTCTTGTGGGAACTGCCATTTTGGTGTTCAGTGCAGGGTGGACACAATTGGCGATCGTTACGACTAGAAAATATGACGTGCCGAGCTTTAGACACAGCGCGGGGAACCTCGGGCGATGTCGTTTCAGTTTGTCGCCGACAGTTTTGACGTTCATAAAGGAAGGAGAACCATTAACTGAGTTTGCGGGTAAAGTTTCAGACAATCGGCAACTATGATTTTTAGGAACCAAGGACAACTGGCGGGGGGTGCTGGGTTTTGCTGGCAGTCATAAAAGAGTTGAGGAGGAAAGGGTTACAGTCGCAAAGAGAAGGTTAGAAGGTTGGTTTAAATTATCCAAGGAAAATTGAATGAAGTAAGACTTAACTAGTACGGCTGGGCACAGGGGAAAATTGGGACTCCCTCCGGCACGGCTCCGGCCCAAAGTCTCAACCCTGTCCCCCAGAGGGCCCAGTGTTGGGGTAACTCTAGACAAACCTGAAGTAGTTTCACCCTAGGTTTGACCAGAGCAAAATTGGCAACTTCTTCGCCGGACATGGGAAGGCGGGTGTTGATGTTTTTAGTTTTTTTGTCCAATCCCCCAAAGGTCATCCTGGTGATATCCCCCACTGCCTGGTGATAGTTACAAAAATGCAGAGGGGAAGCAAATCGGCTTAGAAGGGTGAGGGGAGGATCAAACTTTTGGGTGGTTTTTTTTTTTTTTTTTTTTTTTTTTGGTTTCTAGGTTTCCCCCCCCCCCTTTCCCCCTCTCCCCTCTTCCTTCCCAACCTTTAAATCTGCCTGGAACTTTGAACTTGGGATTCCTCTTTAATACCCTATCCCACTTTTAATCCCTCATCCCTTTGTTCATGCGAGTCTTTTCCCCTATTAGGGTGAGTAATAGTATGCATGGACATTTACCCCCTTTTCCCGTATCTCAACAATTCCCCCCCCCCCCCCCCCCCCCCCCCCCCCCAGGCTAGGTGGCGCGATCTACCACACATTATAAAGGGTAGTACCATTAGCATCCAACCATCCATCCAGGTAGCTGAAGTGTCATTACTCTGAAGCATAGCTTATTTAGTGGCTGTACCTTCGGAGCCTTGGTCTCGTCCTGAACTAGTAGTACCGTATGTTGGCATCCTTAGGAGAGTGAGAGTGTGAAAGTGGGTCCCGGAGCAAACGTGTGGTTTCTTGGGCCGTCCCCTGCAGCCGAATGCGAGCCTCCCCCACCCCCGGCCGCGAGCGGAGACCACGCGCAAGGAGCCGGTCCCCCCGCCCACACGAGCGCCCCCACGCCCCCCGGAATCTGAAGAACGCGGCTGGGCCCCCCACTCCCCTGCAGCGGGCTCGCCGGAAGACTTCCTTCGTGCTATCTCGCCAACATTGTGTCATCCTCATTGTTTGTTGTACATTTTTCAACATTTCCCGTATCTGTCCCCTAGCGTAAGCTCCATTTCTCCGCGCGTGTCATTTTCTTAGCTTGCGGCGATGAGACTCTGTTCCAACTGTTGTCGGGCCGAGCTGGGCCAGTGTTTGTCTTGTGATCGAAGAACGTTCGGCAGCCTCTCAGGCATGTCACGTGCTGATCTGGCCGACCCCGGCACGAGTCGCTCGCTGGCGACGAGGGGTCGTAGTTAAGGGTGCGAAAAGTGCCGACGCGACGGGTTAGGTATTACTTATGCGTGTGGAAGATTCATATGGTGATTCTTTTCATTTGAGCTGCTAAAGAAATGCTCAAGCTTGAAAGTCAAGCAGTTTGATTATTTTCAGAGGGAACCATTTCATAGAATCAGACACAATAAAAACATTTTCCCCCCAGCATTGTGTTCTGCACTTATTTTTTTTTTTTTTATTTAGACAACAAAACTGTTATAGTACAGGTCAGAATCCAAATGTTCTGGGACAGGGTTCATGGTCTTGAAATTTAAAGTTGCATAGCTAAAATACATTCTCTTTCAAATTGAGCCTCCCCTTGCAACGACACGCTTCTACCACCTAGTGTTGAACTTGTCAAGACAGTTCTAAATCCTATTTTCAAACTCTAGTTTCACTCTTGTTTTTTGATCAAACTTTGACGAAGTCGACATGCCGGCGAAGGCAAGAAGAGGGAGTCGCACAAGGTTAGTATGGTGGGTGTGGGAAGGCTGTTCACGTCGTGAGAAAGTTGTCAACCAGGAATGACCTGTGGTGAGCTCTCTTTGGATGCTTACTACGTTCGTCATCGTCTTACCTTCTCCCTGCCTTCTTTCAACCATCCATGCTATTCGGAGGCTTTTGACCATGACGGAGTAGGTGTACCCTAGACCTGCTTCAGCGTGTTGTAGGTTTCTGTTGAACTTTTACCCAAACAAATGCAAAACTTGTTAACGTGCTGCTAAATAAACTTTAATACTTTGCTTAGACTAGATGTACCGCAGCAACCTTATGACCTCCATGGGCAAAACCGCTGTTCCGGAGACTGGGTTATGTTGTAATGCAATCGAAGCATCACCATAGGTCTGGTCTACACATACACTGCCTTATAAACCCAGTCCCGGAAATCGTGGATTTCACCTCGTATAATAAATCGCCTCCTGGACAATCTTTTTTTCCTGTCTATCGGGAGCTGCAGGAACCAAGTGAGACATCAGTTCTCTTTAATGTTTTTGCTGTACATAATTTAGGCCAGTTGTAGGTCTGTTGGATCATGTGTAGCAAGAGGCACAGTTACCCGTTCATTGAGGCATTAGTTGGAATTTCGTTGTTTCCCTGCAGTTAAAAATCAACATCAACAACCTCGGAGCAAGAAGTTGTATTTTATAGCCCCTTCCACTGGCAAATAGCGAGCGCTCGGCGCGCGGATCCTTGTTTCCCTCGCGAGATGATGTGCCGCTTGTAGATTCGCCGAGCGGCTCCAACCGCTCCGTAGAAAAGTGGCGGAGCGCGTCGAGCGGTCCGGAGTAGTTCTCCGCGCAGCCTTTTTCGGAGGAGTACGATCTGTAGTCGTCTCTCGCAACGTTTCAGTTTCATCTTAGGATACAGCACGAACAATAGACGTGGACGAAGAAGAAACACGCGGGACGAGCGCTGACTATCAACTGAATTATTTTAATAGGAAAACACATGAAAACGACCATTCATATTTTGCCGTTCACCTCCCGTCTGCGTATTGCGAGACACTTCAGTAGCGGCGTGATGGCACGTGTTGCTATCCCAAATTGAAAAACGTCACCTCACTGTCCAGCAGTGCCAAAGACGGTTGGCTGACACACGAGGTTGCCGTTCTTTTTATTTTATTCTTCGCCCAAGTCGGTTGTTCGCGCTGTGTCCCAAGATGAATTCCCACCAACTCGCCCAACTATCCATTCTTCTAAGTGTAATTTCAGTTTCGTTATCGACATTCGCGCGGGGGAGGGAAGGAGTTTCGCGGCTTTTTAGAGCGCAGCTAGGCGCCCGTTTCCGGCTTGAGCGGCGTCGCCGTCGCCGTTGCCGTCGGCGTAACCGCGCGGTGCATTATGGGTAAATTTCCCCGCTAAATCTAGTTTAAAAATTTCCCCGCTAAATTTAGCGGAAAAATTTCCCCGCTAAATCTAGCGGAAAAAATTTCCGCTACATCTAGCGAAAAAAATTTCTCCACTAAATCTAGCGGAAAATATACCCCACTAAATCTAGCGGAAAAAATTTCCCCCTCTAAGTTTAGCGGTGAAATTTTGGTCACGTGACCCCCTTCGAGGTCACGTGACCCCACCAAGGTCACGTGCCCTCGGGGGGTCACGTGAACCCCCCCTCCCCTCCCGAGAACACGTGGCCCTCAGTACCCTTCCCTCCTCCTCAAGAGCTGCGCTCCAATTCGGCGTTACAGGGAGTTGTAAACGGCTTCCACTTTTTTTTGTTTCGATTGCTGAGTGGGCTCTCTTGGTGTGCTTGTTTTCGTTCCCCTCGTCATGACCGACTCGCCCGAGCAAACTGCGGCGATTACATCGTTGCTGTTCATTTCAGGAGGTATATTAGAACGCAGTGACAGCGACGAAAATACAGTTTAGCTCCAGCTCGAGATACGACGAGGCAGCCGTTCTCGGCGAAGTGTTTGCCGAGTCGTTTGGCTGGCCAGCGAAGAGGCCCAAGATACCGCGTTACGTCGAAGGCGTGCGCGCCTATTCGGATGAAGAGCTAGGTAGGTCGTTTGCTCGTTTTGTGGTCTCTGTAATTGGAATAATTAGAAGACAACACGCCAAATACTCCGCAGATGGAAGTCGCCTTCGGAGATGACGATCGCTTTACGGCATGCGTGTTTGGTATTGCTTACTAGCATCCTACGGCTCGTACAAGTACTTCTTGTTTTCATCGGGCTTATATAACTGTAAGGAAAAATAAATTGTGTCTTAACGTCGGGGTCGCCGTTAATCAAGTAGTAAACAATCAATTTTTTTGTGAAAGCATAAAGGTCCGATGAAAATTTCGTGCTTTCAGCAAGATGGCAATGGGAACCGCAGCTGTTCAAAAGCGAGAGCAGACGCTCTGGAAGCGGTGGCGCTGGGATCGTTACGCTCAATTTGCTGCACAGCGCGTGCCACTGGGAGGGATCACGTGACCGATCGCTCACGGAGGCCGACCGCTCGACGACCGCTAGCGCGGAGCGCTCGGCACTTGCCAGGGGAAGGGGCTATCAGTAATGTGATGGCTGCACAAAAGTGCTTAAAGGGGCCCTGCAATCATATTTAAGCGTCTACCTTTTTTGCGGTTTCCACGTCTCTTAAGGGTCGGGCAAGCCAGCGGGCACGGAGAGAGTAGCTAAATATCAGTGTGTCATATTTTAACCGGACGACACGGAAACCTCCTCCACTGACGAGGGCGACCCACGGTACCGAAAGCGCGCAAAATGTGACGTCTTTGGTCCTGGGCTCACTACTGGTCAGAGCCGCTAAAAGCTTCTTTTTAGTCGAAATACAAAATATAAGTGGCGCGAACCGTTTCAATTATGTATAAAAGTAGTTTTTGTTCAGTATTTTAGATCAAAAAAGAAACGAATGCCGCAACATGAAGTACGGAAAGAAGACTGACCCGTCGACATACCCGCCACCAAGCGGTGGAAAAGGCGGCGCATACTCGAAAAGAGTATTGGGATCAGGCGCCGACACGGAAAGGTCCCGGATGTACGCAGCGGCGCTGCGGTCATATGGGCAGGAGGATCCGACCGGCTCCGAGCGTTCCGAAAGCCATCGGTGAGAAGCTTTGTCTTGCGGTTTGGCCGTTTCGCGGGATGGCAGCGCAAAGTAGCTCCCGTTCTGAACTGATATTTACCCCGTGTTTGCTGTCGTTTGTGGCCAATGAAATGTCATGCCCAATTAGTGTTTAATCGCGCGGCAAACGCAATGAGAGCCGCTCTGGCTGCCCGCTGCATACAGCCTATCCAGAACACGCTTTAATGGCGCCCTCTCGCGCCGTCGACACGGAGTGCGACAGCCGTGAGCGCTCGATGAGCTCACTACTTCTCCTCTAGTTCACGGCCACTCTCAAGCAACCAAGGACGTCATGAGGGAGGTTATTTTTTGCTTGTTTTTGTAATTTTAATTTGCCTATAACTTTTAATATAATGGGAATTTCAAGAAAAGGAAAGTTTCACTAAGTTACTACGTTCAGTGCGCTCAGGTTCGGTGCAAATTAAAAATTAGTAAAAAAGACATTGCAGGGCCCCTTTAAAGGGCAACTCCGCTCAATTCTGAAGATTTCGGGATAATGATTGATTTCGAATTAAAAAGCCCTAGTTTAAACACGAGCGGAAATCGAAACCGAAACTTCGGCTCCGCCCGGCAATATTGGCCTCGGGTCGCCAAGTACATGGCCATCACGTGGTACGAGATGTCACGTGATCCTCGGCCCGACGACGGGCGGGATTGGGGCGGGCGTGTGGCAGGCGCGAGTGTCGTCTGCACCGCACTCTTCGCCACGTTTTGGTGTCTACGGCATTGGACGACGTCTGCACAACTGCGGCATAAGTGTGCGCGCACGTGGTGTCCGTAGTGTGGACGAAACTCCGAGAGACAATCATCACAATCGGTGAGATGACGACGGCGGTTGTGACGCGGAAGACTACGGTAACGGCGGGACCACGGCGGGCGGCCGGACGGCTCCCAAGAAACGCGCTGCGCAGGCGCGTTACGCCAATCACGTGGACACTGCTGAGCGCCGAGAGGCAACGTTGCTGACGTCATACGCTACGCTCGCCCGGAGAAGTGAAAACAAGCAAAAGGGGGCCATGTAGATGGCGTTTAGCTCAATGTTGGCTCCGCCCATGCCGTAGCCTTGACTGCGCTGTTGGTTGCGCCTGAATTCGCCCGCTCACGTCAGCCGATTTCGGCAACCTGGCGAGTTGCAAAGTTTGCCGAACCGTTTAAGAAACATTTAGACAGAACTGCGTCGTAAGATTTCACGTGTGGTCTTCCTAGGCGATACTGAAGAGGACTGTATTGTTTTTTCAAAACCAAAAATGAAGCGGAGTTACATGCTGTATTTCATCCACACTTGTACACGTTTCTGAAAAAAACAGTAACCAATTACAATTACTTCACTGTAAAATGTAACCGATTACAATTATAGCCTCAAAAAAGTAATAGAAAAATTACTCCAAAGTAATCTATTACTTCTGCAAGCGCCCGCCATCCATCGGCGCTTGCAGAAGGTGTTTCCTAGCCAGTTTCCACAGCTAGTGCAACTGTGGCACCATCCCGTGGCGACGTTGCAAACTTTGGTTACTTCAAACTAGCCCAAGGCCATAAACCAAAGTACTAATATGCATTAAAAAAAATTGGTTACACTAAAACTACATAAGCCTTAACGGC